CTTTCCTATTTCCTTTCGTATGAGGCGTTTGCATGTGCTTGACCTTATCTTTGTGATATAGAAGGACAATACAAATATTTATTTTTTTGGTGCAGGGGCTTTCCTGTTTGAGCTGCTTTTATGGGCCACAGCCATGGAGGCCCTGGAGGGTTCCAGTTATTTACATCCAGCCCACCATACACCGATATACAAAGACAACAAGGCCGTGGACCTCGGCCAAGCTTAGCATCACCAATTCTACACGTATGAAAGTGCGTACCAGCCACGGGCCTTAAGCCTTTATAATCCCCACAACCTCCCCCAGAGAATCGACCACAAAATCCGGCTCCAATTCTTGACAAGCCTTCTGATCTCCGTACCCAAACCGACACCAGCAGACCCTGCTCCGAATATTCCTTGCGAACTGAACATCCGCCACCGTATCACCAACCACCAAAACCCTCCCTGGATCCACCTCCTCCCACCCATAATTCTCCCTCAAGAGGGGGATCAGAACATCCGCAAAGCTAGCAGGATCCGGCTTGCGCTTCGCCCCGGGCGTCTTATCGCCGATGATTAAATCTTCGGGCACGTAGCCATCCAGCCCATTCCGCTCCAAGGCCGTTTTCACAGCGGCTACACCCTTATTACTCACAATCGCGATGGGGATCTTGTGGACGTTGAGTTCGGTCAAGAGATCCTTGGCGCCTGGGAAGGCCTTGATGAGTAGTTGGCCGTGGGTGGCATAGAGAGCGCGGTACTTTTCAATCCACTCGTTCTCAGCGGTCGGAGTCAATTCGGCGGGGGAGAGATGTAGGGCTTTGAAAGTGTCCGCTAGGCCGGCTCCGCTGGCGATGAGACGTTGGATTTCGGGTTGGGGAGGGGTGTGGGTAGGAAGGAGGGTGTCGAAGGTGAGTTTTATGGTTTGGGAGATGGATTCATGTGTATCGAAGAGAGTGCCGTCGAAGTCGAAGATCGCTAGGGCTATCATTTTGAGTGTGTGTGTTTTAAAGCTGGGATGAAGTCGAACATAACAATGTAGAGGAAGTCTAGTAGAGAATGCCGCAATTAACTCGGGAATCCTTTGAAAAACGAATCCCTGGGGAAATGAATTAGAATCCTCTAGACAGGGATTTTGCAGTAGCGTATATAGTTATGTGGCTCATGCAGCTGTGATGTTACATCGAGATAGTGTAGATACGAAAATACATACGGGTTTACAATAATAACAATAATAATGGCTTCTCACCAGTCCGGTGCAGTAAGCCCTAGTGATACGATTATGAGTAATACCAAATAGTCCAGTCTCTACTCCAGGGCTGTCTCTACTAACTGTGAAATGCACACGAGATCTGCATGTCCACAGAAAGCCAAGCGCCTACATATCCTAATCATGTTCTCAGGCACAAAGTTAATATAACCATCTACACTCCATCTCCTCATACAGGTTCTAAATCCCCTCATTTTATGTTTGAATTGCCTTGCTGATAAGATGCTGAAGGCTTATAGCAAAGTCTCCATCCGTTGGACAACTCATCTCCTTAAAGGTTTGAGCAGCTTGGATGTTGTCATGGCTTAGCTCTGTATAGCTACATATAAATTGTCTCTATTTTTGTCTGTATTTAGACCTTTTTTGAGATAGACAGTCCTGCAAGTACCGCTCTCGCCGCAACGAAGAAGAATACACTTGCTACCATCATTGCACCCGAAAAGGCCTGTAACCCCCAGTAGGTCCCGTTTTGTCGGCTTAAGATTGCTCCAGCAATGGGACTTCCCGTGAGAGATGCAATACTGATACCAGTAAATAAAACTCCCTGACGAACACCGATCTTGGTCACGTCGGGCGAGATCTGGCCCAGCAGGGCGGGTACCATGCCCACAAATGCACCCGATGCAAACCCATAGAGCATGCTGAAGACAATATAGATGGCCGCGCTGCCTGTGGAGAGAAGGGTGCCTGGAAGCCAGAGGGCTAGGATAACGATGGCGGACAAGAAGCACATGGCAATCATGACGTTGAATCGGCCCAGTTTGTCACCTATGTAGCCTGGTAGAATTCGACCAGGGAGACTGCAGAATAGATTAGCTCGTGGTCTTCTCATCAACGCAGGATAGATAGTAGTAATCACCTGGCGGCATTAAGTACAGTCAACAAGTACCCAGCTAATTCACGGTTGACTCCGTCCTCCTGAGCCTCTACAACGACATAACTGATTGGCACAAACATGGCGAAGAATCCACAGCATGATGCCAGCATAAGCAAGACAAACGGTATCTCCGAAAACGGACTCGTATAATCACTCAGCTTCACTGGCCGCGGAACATTTTTTATTCTCGATCGGACAGTCAGGTTGGCAATTACCAGGAGCGCAAGGATGATAAATCCGGAGATACGCAGAGACCATCCGAACCCAATACTAGGCAAGAGCCGAGACAACATAGTTGGAAATACAACTCCACCCAGTGATGAGCCGCTGGAAACAATTCCAAAGGCCAAAGCACGTCGTTTCTCGAACCATGTTGCGGTACAGGAGAGTGCGGACGAAAAGACAAAGCTTGCACCAAGAGAGCTGCAGATACCCTGGGCTAGCAAAAATTGATAGTACTCCGTCGAGATGGAGGTCATCATAATCCCAAAAACATGAAGACATGTCCCAACAATAAGGAGCCACTTCGGACCATAATTATCGAATACCTAGAAGAAGATTAACATGGACACCTCATATGCTGGTATGGGCTATTTTCACTCTTCCAATGACAATTCCAGCTGCAAAGAGCACAAATGGCTCTAAAGATAAGATCCATGAGATGCTAGAGGCTGAATAAGAATGCAATTGATTGTTCTGGTAGTACTCTTGAAAAATGCCAATAGCTGGAGGTAAAGCATCAGGTTATCGGTCGGCAGGGAAATATGCGAAACAAGGAAGAATCTCACCGTTTACCCAGCCAAAAGCGCAAAAGAGACAGCACCATGCTCCAATGACAACCGTCCAAGCACGAAGTCCTTGATCCAACTGTCCAATTGGTTCCTCATCACTTCCAGAGACAGCCACGATGGTTTTCGATTCCGTGGTTGCCATGTCTAGAGCGTCTCGAGCAGAAAGGAGCAAAAAGACGATAGAAGATGGAGTTTGAGGGAAAAACTATCTCAGAGCTAGAAATTCCCTCTCTACTTGTCGGGGACCCCTTTAGGGCTGTAACATGTGACCCCGATAATGATATCTTCTAGCCAAAACGACAAAGTGATGAGACTAATAGCACTTCCAACGATTTTTCACTTTTTTGCCTGCTGCGACATTAGATCAAGAATAATGTAGCGAATCTACTTAGAAGCAAGGGCGGGAAAGAAGAACAAGACTTCTTTCCTATGGATAAGGACAACATTGAAATGACTCCTTTTGCCAAGGAAACACTTAGGCTGAAATTACTTCCATCTTCCTCGCTAGTGAGACACGGTTTCTCTCCGACCTCAAAATAAAAGAGGCTTGAAATGTCGTGGATCAGCATCCTTCGCACTAAAATTGCCAGCCCTGGAGGATTCAGCGATCGTCAATCTGCCTGGGCTTGTACTGTACATACGTCCCCGAATCTGGGTACTCCTTTTGCTGTGCATTACATGTATTCCTCTTGAGAACAAAATCTGCATCTGCTAGACTATGCATATAGACATGGAGGTAGGTATTTCACATTTCCTTGATAAAAAAAAGGAAAAAGCACAGCACTGGGTTTACGGCGAGCGGAATCAACCTAGTCCAAATTAGGCGAGAAAGGCGTCCAGAATTGCCAGGGTCCAGCCTATTTAGTTTATAGTTACAGTTAAGAGGCATAAAAGTTAAGGCTGACGATCTCCAATTCTACCTAAAAGATCTTATAGATAGATATTAAAGGATACATATGTACTTGTTGTATAGGATGGTTACCTCCTAAACAGGCTACCCGCAGAACGAATCCATAGGCTGTCCGCATTCGAGAGAATCAAATTCCTTGCAGGTTGCTGGAGAGAGTTATATTTTGAAATGAGGAATAGTATCAAGCACCGCCCCCACAGACTGGCTTACCAGAAACTGGCTGAACGCATGATTGCACCAGAAAATGGGATCTCGATCACAAGCAATGATTATGTGCTGCTGTCTGGAGTCCTAAAAGGCATCCACTATCAAGACTGGGAGAGCGATAGGGGGTAGATCTTTGGCAGATGGTATTGATACACACCGCTAATTTTTGGATATTGTTGTATTCAAGGTAATTATAATGTCATTGTATATCTAGTGCGAAGTGGAGGTGTAATTCACTTGTACAGTCATGTACACTTCTTCCAATGTTCTCTACACCTTGACAAGGTCTTGATTAGATCTTCCAGGGCATGGCACGGGTCGTTGCGGATCCGCTGCGGATCCGCCCAAGTCGCCGGTGAGGCGAGGGATGTTCTACTTCACCCTGATAACTACCTAGGTAGAGTATGAGGCCAAGCCCTAAATCGAAGTTGAAGTCATGAGCAAGAACCGCAACATGTATTGGCAGAACTGGAGACCTTTGCGATCAATTGTGACACCCTACTACCCTTTTCTTGATTAGCCAGGGATCCGAAGTCGCGCACAGTCACTGTTTTAGCCGTGTCCTATTCGGAGAATATGCGTGTGACTGTGGAGAGCTGTTGACAGCATGTTGTGTTATGTGGAGATCGTCATAAGGTATGTCTTATATCTCTAGATTGCTGTGACGCCTTGTAGCTCGCCCGAAACAGGTTCAAATGCGGGAAACTGATGCGTAGAAATTTCCTAGTAATTTGTATTGGACGAGGCGATAAAAGTAGAATTACAGAATACTAGGTATGACGAAGGTATTGTTTCAGGTTAATTGTGTAGAACTCTCTCACTAAAATGGCAAGGCCCAAATTGACAATTTGTGCAGACAAAAGCAAAACTAGTACCTAGGTACTTCTAACCTTGACTTTTAATCTCAAATTCAAACAATGTAAACACTATTCAGCTATGGGTTATCCTAGAACAGGGCAAGATAGCTCAAAGCTTCGCCATATTGGCATCAGCCTTTTGCGCCTGCTTTTCCTCCCATGCCTTGAGGGTACGGCGCGACTTCACCACACGCTCTGTTAAAGAAGCATGCAGAGACTGGTACACACCACCTTCCTCTGCGAGATTGACGCGTCGCTTTTGTCCGTGGTCGAAAAACACAATCCAGGTATGTAACTCAGCAACCAGTGCGTTCTGAGTCACGGACCAGATGCAATAAACAACTTGAATCCTGTCCGAGTGCACATCTGAAATGCGAACACCGGCGATGAGCTTGTCAATACCAAAGCCTTGTTGTTAGTTTCGCTTAGCTCTTACTCAAAGAAAGAAAGCAACAAGGACTAACCAGGTCAGGATATTTGACAACCCTTTTGATTTTCACCGTGTATTGGTTTGTCATAGGACCGATTGCACGGCCCGACATGAACTTTGAGAATTCATCTTTGAGAAGATCTTGGAAGGACTCAAGTAGGCGAACGAAGCAGTTGCCGGCGTAATGCACATAAGCCTGGGCCATGACATGTCCGAACGGGTCCTGGTCATCAGCCCAGGAGATGGGATTCTCGCTTAGGGCGTTATATTCGATTCCCTGTTCCAACATTGCGAGAACTGTTGCTTCCCGAAGTGGCCCATAAGGTCCATTTCGGTCCGGGTGTTGATAGGAAGAGGCATCTAGAGGAGAGAAAGTTGGTGCCATGGCGGTGCGCGGGGGCTGAGAGTTGGAGAGAAGGACAATTAGAACTTAGATCAACGGTAATGTGCGAGGCTCTTTTTATATAACGGCCAAGGTAAATGGTAGCCATTCTCCTGCCTCTCTTTCCCATGACGCATCGGAGTCGGAATCCTAGGATAAATGAAGAAAGGCCCTTGACGATCTGTGAAACTGATGAGTTCCAAACGAAAATAGTCGGATTGTTGTAAGTATATTGAGAGTAACCGTCCATCTCGTTTACGATCGACATGTCAGTCAAATAAAGAGAACCTTAAATGAATGGGTGCGTTACACAGTGGAATTTCTGTCGTAATATGAGTCTCTGGAAATGATCATACGAGTCCATACCTGTACAGCGTTGAACCACATCGAGATGTGACAATCCATTTTTAGGAAGATATGCGTGGGACTTGCCTATCTGGTTGGAATAGATCCTATTGATCTGTGCGTCATCTGGGATTACCAGATGTCATTTGTGACAGGCTGGGGCTCCCCAAGTTCAGAACATATGTTTTCATCAGTACTTTAGCCTCTTCAATACTTTAACAGACCGAATCCTTTTCCGGTGGTTAGACCACTTGCGCACCTAATCGAGTTATCTCATTATAAATGAACATTGGTTTCATAGGAAAGCTCCAGGGATTGCTAAGATATTTGGCTACTTCCGACATAGGTGGAGTTTTGACACAAAGGCAATGTTGGAGAGCAATCTTGAGTGGTTGAGGTTGGTCACCGAGGTAAGGATTCATTATATCATCCATTAGCTGAGGCTACACAGAGATGCAGGGGAGGCAGCTTAGTCAGTGAAGCAGTGGACATGTGGCGTCAACAAAAAAGCTGGTGGCATGGCCCCGCCCGCTCAGATCTATTCAAGCCACTGATTACGTGGTTGAGAATGCTGAATAGGGCTCTGGGCTCAAGCTGCGATGTCATTTTCTTGGTCCATTGCTCTGAACACGATGTAACAACAAAGACAGAGAGGCTCCAAGTTCTCTTCGCTGTATTCTTCACACTAACGCCGGGAGAGGGACCATTAACATTCTAGCTGCTCAAATTCCACCTGTCGGTTAGTAGTGTTGATGTTGGTAGAAAGTATGCATTTTCAATAATAGCCGCTGCGGCTCACGATGACACGTGGGGCCAAGGGAACCTATCGGTTAGTTGTTTCCGGGGCCAATATATGACACGATGCGAGATATCATTTCTCGTGGTAGTAACTCCATGTTGCTCTCCCAGATATTCCGTGAAAGAGAGCGGATGACTGCACTCTGCGGCTGCTTAGGGGTCCATGAAACCAAGTACTCTGAATCCAACAGGTGAGCACCAAAACGAAAAGGGAAAAGATTCAAGTGTCAGACAATATCCGCTGTAGTATGCAAGGATCGAGAATCGTGATCAATCAAGCACAGACCGACATGCACGAGCTTCAATATTGGAAAGTATTACGTCTCCATGAAGTACCGGTACACAGATCAGCCAAATTGATAGTCTAGTCCAAGACCGGCGATTACATGCATGTTGAAAAAGAAATTCCCAATTTCGATTCAACGTTCATTGCTCATATGTGCAGATGGCAAAGGGTGTGGCAGAGATAGATAGTATGACAGGAATATTGAAAGAAAAAGAAAAGCCATCCAAAGCCAGATGAGAGCAAGCGACAGAAAAAGAAATACCAGAAAAAAATCCAGCGTCCCAAATCTACTGTGGATCTATGGGAAGGGGAATTGAGGTTGAGTGTGTCGTAGAGCAAACATAGAAATTTTAGGATATCGGAAAAAATGGAAAAGAAAAGTTTAGGCAGCGATCAATCATACTGGAAGAGAACGCTGATACTTTCACCGTGGTGCACACGACGGATAGCCTGGGTACAAGTCAGTATATTATGCGGAATGAACCGGACGTATAGGACTCACCTCGCCGAAAACGTGGCCGACTTCCAAGACCTCCAGCTTCGGGCATCGGCGCAAGTGGTCAACTTGATCCACGCTGTTGGTCACAACAACCTTGTCAAGCGCACTGGCGTTGATGCGCTCGATAGCGTCGCCACTCAGGATACCATGGGTGAGAAGGGCATATACCTGAGATGCGCCTTCCTTCTTGAGCAACTTGGCAGCGCGGGTAATGGTATTGGAGGTATCCGCCAGATCATCAATCAGAATTGTTATCCGATCACGGACATCGCCAACCAACATCATGGTGGCATTCTGGCGGTCGGTGATTTTGGTGGGGCGGCGCTCCTATGGACTTGTTAGAGAATTATGGGAGATTCAAGAGCTCGATAAGCCTACCTTGTGGATCAGGGCAAACTCCATGCCCATTTGGTCAGCAATTGCCGTAGCGCGCTTGGCACCTCCGGCATCGGGGCTGACAATGACAGCCTGCTTGTAATTAGGGATATTGCGCTGAATGTAGCTCTTCAGGAGAGGTCGGCCGTAGAGGTTGTCGACAGGGATATCAAAGAATCCCTGGTACTGAGGGTCGTGCAAATCCATGGTGATGATGTGATCGGCGCCGGCGCAGGTAAGCAGGTCTGCCACCAGGGTGCCGGCCTGTGCAACCCACTGTTTGTAACCGGGACGCGGCTGGAAGGAGTTGATCTTGGAAGAGGTGATGCTCGCTGCGTCGTCGGTGCCGTTGGTGGAGGACTTCATGGAATCCGTCGTGTCGCTGCGGGGCACACCGTTTCCCCGTCGCTTCACAGGGCTGCCATTGCTCTCCTCGATCTGAGCCTTGGCAAGGCCCTTCTGGAGGCTTTCAATTCCATTTATTCCGTTCATCAATCCCAGGCCTTCGGTCTTTCCACCAGGAGCCGGGGTCGGAGGGGTGCTCTCGAATGTGTAGCCATTGCCGGGTTTGCCTCCCACAGATGCCTTGACGAGAGGAGCGCCAGCCTTGTCATAGGGAATGTCACTCTGACGAGAGTAAGGGAAAAGAGGGAGGACAGCGGTGACTCGCCGGGCCGAGGCAGTCTTGCAGGCGGAAATGGTGATAAGAAGCTCTAGCAGGTGATCGTTGACTTTACCGCCGCCGGATTGAATAATGTAGACATCCTTTTCACGGACGGACTCTTGGATTTCAACTCGAGTCTCACCCACGGCGAATTTTGAGAGCAGGACCTCTGCAGGAGGAATGCCGAGAACACCGCAAATGCTCTGAGTCAACTGAGGGTGGGAGTTGCCTCCGATAACGACAAGATTGCGAACCATAGTGTTTTTGCTTGTGGATATGTCGCCAGGATTGGAAATGGGAGGGAGGACGGCGCTCGATCTGAAGAAAATCAGGTTTGGAGGGATCGAGTGGAGGGGGAGGAAAATCTGGGGGGCGATCTCGGTAAGCAGTCAAGGGAGTAAAAAATAGAGAAGAATAGAGAAAAGTATAGGGATTCTTGAATTGGAGAGGACAAATGCTACCTCATGGCGGAGGAAGAATCGAGACTTCGAGGGACAAAGACATAAAAAAGAAAAAAAAAGCCCCGACGATGTGAGTCCCGCGATGGGAAAAAAGCCTCTTTGGAGTGGAGCGGATCTGTGGCTGATGCCTCAGGTGGCAAATGACCCGGATCGGGTAAAGCGCATGTCGTGACGAGGCCCCCGCAGAAAACGGGCCCTTTGAATTGCTTCTGGACAGACAGCCCTGGAGGAACGCAGTAAATGGTCAGCAGGTTTACTGCTTCGGATTTTCCATTTGTTCCATTCCGTAGATATACATGATCCTGTAATCCCCAGTGGCTTTGGAAATCTCGAAAAAAGAAAAAAAGAAAAAAAGAAACATATTCATGTGTGACTCCTATGCTCCGGTCCCCAACATAGTATGTACTAAGAAAAAGAAAAAAACATAAAAGAGCTTGGCATAACTTTCCCACCGAGCGCAGTGTGCTCCGGGAATCCGTCATTCGCCCGTTCCAACCTCCCTATGAAGAGTTAGTACCACAGTCCTAGTATGAAAAAGAGGGCTTGAAGCTCACAAGTCAAGTTGAACTCCGTTGCTCACCCCATAATCCTCCAGTGTAAGTTGGTCTTTAAAAGGGCGTTCGCCTTGGCGTTTGAGAAGGATTTCGTGGGGTTCACGGCCGATCCGAGCTGCCACTTGGGCCTTGAATAGCTCTACATAGAACATTAGCACACTGGTGGGTCAACAGTAGAAGGAAGACATACTGATCGGATCTGAGGCAAGACAGGGGATCGCAGCTTTAGTTCCCAGACGATCATTGACATGGACCACAATCATGGGTTCTGAGGATTGCGGAGCGACCGGCTTCTTCTCCTTCTTTTCCTTCTTCGGTTTCTTTTCCCGGTCTTCGCGCGGCGCATCTCGATCGTCACGTTGTCGGCCCCGGTCGCGGTCGCCGTCCCTCTGTCCATCTCCATACCTGTCGCCCTCTCGGTCGCGTCGTGGTGATCGTGGTCGGTCTCGGTATCCTCGTTCTAATCTGCGGTCATCGCCGCGGGAATCATCGGTGCGGCTCTTGTCCTTCCACCGAAAGCCTCCAGTCTTTCTGGGGCGCTCTCTATCAGCATTTTCTCTCAGGCGCGGAGACCTGCTTCGTGATCGGTCACCCATGACTGTGGATGGAGGAAAGATGAAGTTGCGTGGGAGCCTGACAAGCCCGGATGTAATCGAAACGAAGCTGTGAGGCACGTGACGATATGCAGCTGCCAGTGGAGTAGGCTAGTCCAGGATTGGATTAGTGTGGCTATTCACATCAAGAGCTCTCCTGGTTGAAATACGATTCAATCTCTCCGCACTTTTGATCTACCTCTTGAATAGAAGGCTGCGATGGAAATTGTCAATTGATTCTAGCTCTGTTATTTTTCTCCCTAACTTCTCCATACCCAAAATGCGAGGACGACTAGAAGTTCAGCGTCCCTCTCCGACGACTGTCTCCTTCACGGTATCAAATGCGCCCCAGCGGTCGAGTTCCCCCGCCAAAATCTTGTTCGGTCTCCAAGTATTGCTGCGTACTGTCTTATTTTTCTGTGTGATTGGTGTTGGCATCGTGCGCGTCCGAAGTCTTTTCTTCCAAGACGATGGCAGGGTGATAAGCTGGTCAGCTGTGTGGTCGAGCCCGCTCGGATCCAAACTGTGTCACTTGGTGGATTCATACAACCCGCTCGTCCTTGCTGTGGTTGGTTCATTGGTGATATACGGTGTTTTCAGAAGAGGTTATATTGGTAGGTTGAGAAGGAAGAGTTGGCTTTGTGAAATCTGTCCATGGCTGATTGTCCGACAGAGGAATCGCTCTTGGTTATTCGAGGCTTCGGAATCCAGACCTCGACATCCTCCTCGACATATCTTTCTACTGCCTCAACGAGGTTCATTCCTACCACGCAAATCCAAGACATTGTGATCCACGAAGCCTTCAAGGGCTTCGAAGTCCGCTTCTATTTGGCGGTCATTGTCGAAGGCGAGCCCAATGCCCTGGTTGTCTTCCCGGTATGTAATATCCTCAGCGTTATGTACGCAAAGCTAATTTTGTGACTAGCATATGTTGCCCAAGCGAGAGATCTTAGAGCAGGTTTGGAGGGGTTCGCGGCGATGTCTTTACGATGCGAAGTCATGATATACCCACGGCCTCTGCCTCAAGAAATGTTTGTTTGTGCAAAAGTCTATCTTGCTCTAACCCCGAGATTCGATGCTCTATCAGCAAGTAAGTATATACAAAACGAGATTCATTCCAGTGCCGCCCTTGCAGCCTCGCCCTTTGCTAGCCTTCGCTGCTTTGTGACAAGTCCCTTGGCATTTTGAACTTCCACGGGCTGCATTTTGGCCTTCTTGTCGACAGGGGTATATTTGCCACCAACAGCAGTATCGTTTCCACCAGTCCAGATTTTGGCACCTCTGCTTGATTTCTTGGCATATCCCGCGTTTTGCCATTGGTTGTCAATGTCTTCCACGTTCTGGTTACCCTGGGTGACAGCCAGGTCTAGCAGAGCACCCGCTAGAATCTCATCTATCTTGCGCTTTCTCCAGACGGCCCACAGACTTTCAACAGTGCCCCGCATCCCGAATTTGCTGTCACCCTTGGCGCTTCCCTTGCCGTTTGCAGGGCTATCACCAGCATAGACCCAGTTCAAGGAATCCAGGCGACTACCAGACTCTATGTCGGGGAAAATGCAATCCCAAAGAACCAGCGGAGCATCATCAGCCATCGCATAGGTCGGCTTTCGCGGGTTCTTGGTAATGTCCAGCAATTCAGGGACGATAGATGGAGACTCGAGTCCCTGTCCGACTAGGAACAGAATTGCAACCATGTGTCGCACCTGGTGCCACAAGAAGGCAGAACCGTGGAGGTTGAACGAGTATACCTGAGGGATACTTTGAGAAGCCGTGTCGGGAGTCGCCAAATCTGGCTCTGGCATACAATTCTCTTTGGCCTGGAAGCCAGGTTGGCCAACATAGCCCACGGGACTGACCTTAGGGTTGACAGCTTCGATGCTAGAGTGATGGATAATACGTTCAAAGTTATCAATCTGCTTGTTGGTGTCCAACTTGCAGAAATTCCGGAAGTCATGCAGACCCTCGAAATGCTTAGCTGCCTCGCGCATAGCCTCAATGTCAAGCCAACCCTCGCGGAACTCAGCGCGCGGGCCATCGCCATTCTGTGCACGGTTCTGGAACCCAATTGACCCAGGAGTCGGAGTGAACGCAGGGTTGGTGAAGAAGTACTTGTACCGACGTTCACGGCAGGAGAAGCGGGCATCGAAACCAGGTGGCGGGTTGGGACACCACGCCAGAACCCTGATGTCTTCCGGAAGCACCCTGTTTAGAACATTGATATAGTTCATCTCGTCGGCTATATCATCCCACTCCTTTTCAGTAGATCCCGAGTCGACGTTCATCCCGTCCTCGCCCTCAGCGGGGGTCTTGGGAATGGGCCGTTGACTGCGGACCCGCAGTCCAATAACCTGCCCAAAAGCGCTTACGCCCTTATCCGTACGACCTGCTTTAGAGTACTCGCATCCATCCCAGTAAAGGTGGTAGGGGCGCATGGGGACGCGCTCCCCACTATCGGTCGGTTCAAGATCAGAGGTGGTCTCGGGGGAGATGAGCCGTGTACGCCGCAATGCCTTCCACAGAATCTCTTCGACGGTAGGCAGAGGCGTAGTATTTCCATTTGTATGTTCGAGCCCATTGTATGCCTGTCCCAGATATGCGAACTTGAGCGCAATGAACCGCGTCGAGTATTTGGAGGGGTCAAAACTGCGATCGAGTTTAGGAGGTTTCGGGGCTTTAACAACCCGTCTGGGAGCGGGCACTGGGGTAGAGTCGCTATCTGGAGGGGAATGTGGTCGCTTCTTGGAAGTATTGAAGGTCTCGGGGAGATCGATCGCAGGTTCCGGGACGTCGGTAAAGATGGGCGCAGAAGAGCAGGCTGCCTGCGGCGGCTCTTCTGTGGACGCTGTGAACTCTGTTGTCTGAGAGTGAAGCTGGCGCTCTAACTCCGTGATGCGCGCGATCAGGCTGGAGGTACTCCAGGCCGAGTAGTCGGGTTGGTCTTTGATGTTGGTGTCCGCCATGGTTTGGGGTGTGGGGGTGCGAGACTGGCAGAGGTATCGGGTTTGCCTGAGGGCTTGTTGTATATTGCAACTCAGTGGAAAAAGTCTCGCAGGTGGTTTCCACATACCACGTCAAGCGACTGAGGCTGAGATTGGATTGGTGCGGAAGTTCAGCCGGCGGGGGTTGAAGTTGAAAAAGTTCCCCGGAGGCGCTGTTTGGTGTATTTTCTGTATTGAGTTCTTGTATTATAGTGTAATTACGGGCACTTTATCGCCACCCTTGCGTGTATTTAATGCGTAGAACTGTACTGAAACCGTATTAAGAGGATCTAACTGCAAATAATTTACTATAGGCGCATTCTTGCATGGTAAATTGCGCAATAATGGATTTTAATGTATATATTATATGAGGTTAGAGCTGCAGAAACAATATATAAATCAACAACAACCACTTTGGATTCGCCAAGCATCGAACCTTATCATCCAAAGTTCATCGCCTCTCTAACCTAAAACACCTACTGTTCTCTGAGACGAGATAGTGGTAAAATTAATCATATAGACTGCTCTGAATTCGCAGGAACGAGCTTTTGCAATATACACGTTAAGCGACCGGCTGAAGGGTGCGAGTTGATCCATACCTCGACGGTTGCACGTAAATCGAATCGACAGCCATTCCAGCATGGCTGAGGCAGATCCTCAGACGGACAATAACAAGTCAGTTTCTTTACTTCTAGTCGGAGATGCAGGATGTGGGAAATCAACTTTCTTAGCGTGAGTACCTGGCCGTCCCACGAACTGCGGCCTTGGGTGTCAATCCCTAGGGCTATCTATATAGCGTTGTATGGGGACATGCTAATGTGATTTAGTCGCCTGAAGAGCGGAAGACCATCCCAATCAGGGCCATCTAATACGGAACAAAATACACTTGAACTATTACGAGATGGTGATCAGCCTTTCATCTACGACATCCGGTTCTCAAAGAAGACATTCACTCTAGAACTTTACGACACATCCAACCCAAACCAGCATTGGACAACCCTTCGGCCTGATGTGGTTGTCCTAGCCTTTGACATCTCCAATCGAGACACACTTGTTGGACTAAAAGAGGTAAGTCTCAAATACCAATTCGGAGTAATTGGGAAATGATGCTGAAACTCAATGTTATTCGTTAGTGGCGAAATGATATTACTCGTTACTTTCAGTACGGTCACGGCGAGCGCCTTCCAGTGATGATGCTGGGCCTGAAAAGGGATCTACGAAGAGAAGGCGAGGGAATTATCTATCCACAAGAGGTGAGTGACTCCATGAGCTGGTGTTTCACGCGTTGAATTGGCTAACCGAGTTGTCTAGGCCTATCGTATTGCACAGGAACTTCGTTGTGATAGATACGCCGAGTGTTCGGCTGTCACAGGCGAGCTGCTCGCAGAGACGTTTGAAGATCTTGCTAGATTGGCGGCAATGACGACGACTGAAAAAGGTGGCCAGAGTGAGGGCACTTCTTGCGTTATTCTTTGATTATTTCGTTGTCAATGTTCTATATTGTTTCCCACACCTACATAGTCATGTATCAACCAGTCATGTCAATGCCCAAGATACGTACCTCTAGGGTTATGTCAACGTTTAATATACCTCAGTGATCAATTGATAGACATTAAGGCACCCGGGAAGAGAAAGCTTCTTTATATCCACTGCCCGGACGATACATTTGGTGTCCCAATATCACTCGAAAGTACAGAGTTCTGTGTCCCGTTGGGCGCATTTTAAAGTCTTTGAAGATGCCTCAAGTGTGGGCCTTTAGACACATTGTTAAAATATCCTGGCCTAGTCGATAGGGAAGGGACCTGTCATTAGACCAGGCAGTACTCTGTAGACGGAATAACACACCGACGGCAACTCCGACGTTGTATGGTGGCATTGTGTTCTAGCAGGTGCACATATTCGACATGACCAACATTGGAAGTCTACAGCCAAGCATATATACTACGACACTACAAAACCTACTGGATATGTATGATACCAAGCACAACCTTTTCAGATTACTAGAATACACACAGGGAGAAACCAAGGTAACGATTAAGTCCACCTTGTGAATTGACAGCACAGGGCTTTCCCCCAGAAGCTTCGTAAATAAAAGCAACTGGATCTCTTTCCCTCATAAGCGCCAGTCAATGATTGGCATGGCAATTCCTCCCCGATGCAAGAACATGGAAATAAAAAAGTGCTGGTAAGATGAGACGACTGAGGCAAAAGGTTGAAAGGTTCCCGGTGAAAGCTCGTTTTCTTCTGCTGTTTTTCAGTTTCTTTTGGTTTTTGGAGAATTGCACACAGAGACTAGGATAGACATATCAAGGGAATTTGCGGGAGATTGTAATCCATTGATGCGAATGGAGTAGATGGTGTATAGGAGAAAACAGGAGCATTCCTTCGATTCCCGTGCCTCAAGGGACCCAGAAAATCGTCACAATCATCCCGGATCGCCAAAACTTTTTATTGTGATCAAACTTCCCCCCTCTCAACGACTATCCTCATCACCGCGAAGCAATTTACCACTTGGCCTCACCAGCGGCGGGCTGAGCCTCAGCCCACTCGGTGGTGGGGGCAGCGGAGCTGGCAGCCCAGTCGGCACCCTCAGCATCCCAGCTGGTGGCACCAGCAGTAGCGGTGGCAGCGGAGGCAGCAGCGAAGGCAGTGCCGGGGTTACCAGCGCCTGGAGCGGAGGCATCCCAGTTCTCACCAGCGAAGCCGGACTCGACGGCACCAGCGCCGATCTCCTCAGCACCGGCGACCTTAGCCTCATCAGCGATCTCCTTGTTCTCCTCGGCCTCAGGGTCGCGGTAGAAGTAGAGGTCGACAACGGTGTCCCACTCGGTCTCGCGGGTAGCGAGGGTACCACGGAGACGGAGGACCTCACGGGCGAGCATCCACCAGACGAGACCGATGGCGTGACGACCCTTGTTGTTGGTGGGGATGGCAACATCGACGAAGTCGGTGGGGGAGTCAGTGTCGCAAAGAGCAATGACGGGGATGTTGACGTAAGAGGCCTCCTTGATAGCCTGGGCATCAGTGCGAGGGTCGGTCACGATGATGAGACGGGGCTCCTTGAAAGAGCGGGTGATGTAGTTGGTGAAGTTACCGGGGGTGAAACGACCGGCAATAGCGGTGGCACCGGTGTGGGAGGCGAACTTCAGGACAGCACGCTGGCCGTAGGGACGAGCGGAGATGACACAGACATCGGCGGGGTTGTCAATGGCGGCGATGATACGGGCGGCCAGGACGATCTTCTCCCTATTTCAGCGAAACATATATATTAGACACTATACTATAGTCAGACGTCGTCTTGCTTTCGCACATACCAGGTCTTGCCAATGTTCAGGACGTTGACACCGTCGGCGCGGAGCTTCCAGAGGTAAGGCTCCATGTGCACCTGAAGGTTCTTGGAACCAAGGTGGCACTGAGCGGCAAGGAGCATCTCAATGTCCTGCGCGGTGGGGTTGAAAACCGGGGGGAGCTGGGAAGGGGCCATGTTGGGCGATTGATGGATTGACGAGTTGGAGGATCAATCGTCTGGCTCTTGTCGTGGTGATGGAGGGAAAAAGATCAAAGCCAAGCCGCAGAATTGTTGCACTCTCGCGATTCGGGAGAATTTCGCTTGCGTGCGCTAGGGCTAGGGCTCCAGGGCTGGGGGAATTGGTTATGTAATACTGATCTTGGCTCTTCATCCACGTGACTATAAGTGCCTGGGGCAGCTAATATCCTGACTAGGATTAGCGTAACTAGACCTCCGGCCGCAAGATTTCCCGACGAAACGTGGATGGAAAAGAGAAGTCGATTGTTACAATAGAGCCATCTACTCGCCAGCTACGCCCACCATGCCTCCGCGCATCTCAATCCAATCCTCCTTGAAAGCCTTGGCCGGTATGCTAGTCGAAATCAGTCATGTCAAATGTCCCAATTACGTGGGTGCTAACCAAGGCTCGTCTAGGATCAACCTACGGATATAGCCCGTTGTCCAATTCGACCAACACTTCTGTCAGAGCCGCCTCCAGCAAGGTTCAAGTTCGGAGGAAACATGACCCATTCCTGATGGCCCAGGCGCGCCAGCGCAAGGCAGCGAATGTCTCCCGTCAGAAAGTCCTTGCGAAGGAACGGGAATCCTCGCTCGGGGACCCTGTCCAGAGCCAGCCGACACCATTTATCCTAGAGATGACAGCAATCCAAACCAACTCACACATCCCATCATCTTTGTCTGAGGATCTCAACTACTACTTGAAGTCGAATGAGCTGGATGCCGCCCTCGACTTCTCCAAGGATTTGACCGCACCGCTTAAAAATCCCGATCGCAACACAGCCGATCCTCAAGTTGAGAAGGAGGCAGTGAATCTGCATAATCAAGAGCATAAGAATGCTCAAGAAGCAATCAACCGGATTGTGAACCTGAACAATGGCAACACCAAGGACCGCGTGCGCCTCAACATTACAAAGTGCATCGAAACATTCGGGCGACACTATACAGACTCAAATCTTCCACCAAAGCCTTCGGCTATCGCCCATGGGACTGCCCCTGTTCATCCGGAACGCGCACCGCGCGTTGGGCCCGATACCGGCTCTGCGGAGGTGCAAGCTGCGATCTTGACTGTGAAAATCATGAACCTCTCCCGCCACCTCGAGACCGCCAACAAGGACAAACACAACAAGCGTAACCTGCAACTATTAGTCCACAAACGCCAAAAGCTGCTGCAATATGTCCGCAAGAAGGAACGCGGTGGTCCCCGGTGGCAGAACCTGATGGGGACATTGGGATTGTCTGACGCTGCGTGGAAGGGAGAGATTGCCATATGAAGGGCACTGTTTTAATAAGAGGTCTTTTGTATCTCTACGCCATTCTCTTCTTTTGTGGTTGGCTGGCTTTGAAAGAAGTATCGGCGTGTTACCTTGTATCATCTGTCTAGGAGCTAGCGAGGGGGTACTTGTTGGTCTATGTCTCTATTTCCATGTGTCATCCGCAGAGCATTTGTACAAATAGAATTGTTTCTTTTCCCATAACTGTTTTCAGTTAAATAATTTGAAGTAGCCAACTAGCCGTCGGAGGATAAGTTCTGGAATTTAGCAAGTTTCCCCTACATGGTCACTATTGCTTTTTTCATGTGAGATGGCAATCTCTCAATTAGGCTTTGGTTATAGACGTGGACTTTAAGTGTATAAAGGCTTTAATTGCTAGATTGTGATGATGATATGGAGCAAATATTCTGATAAGACCTATGAGCGAAACCTTGGATGGACTATAGTGAGAGTGCTAGACGCGACCAAATAATCAAAAGGGAAGGAGCCCTTGGTTTTCGGCCAAACCATATCCTTTTCAAAATCGTAAGGCCGGTAGAATTTTTAGAGTATGCGGGGGAAGTTAGATCCGATCTAAGACGAGAGACAAGAGATAAGACTATATGATATGTGATGACTGGAAGTAACCCGAAATATTTGATAGGATTTTCAGAGGAAATAGCCTATTGAAGAAATAATATATGATATCAGAGAACAGTGACAATAATTAGAATAATGGTCTATAGGTCTCAGGTCCCTTACGACAGCCTCCATAGAGATATAGGGTTATATCACACCGCCCTAAACATTCTGCCAGGTCGTGCCTTCCGATTTTGAAAAAGATATGGTTTGGCCGAAAACCAACGGCTCCTTCCCTTTTGATTATTTGGTCGCGTCTAGCAACCGTGTTGTTTACATCTCTCCTTTTCTTCTTCTTCTCTCCTCTCCTCCTCTTCTCCTCCTCATCACCCATAACGTTACCATCCAAAGCAATTGGCTTTGGATATCTCGACAGAGTCTTTGTGATCGACTCTACACCAATCGGTTAGTATCTACATATGTACCTAGGTAGCCTTTGGATATCTCTGACTGATTCATTGCATTTCAATAAGATTCCACTCACTTATCCCTCACCACAACAACACCCTCGCCACCCACCATCCTCCTTACCTTGCGCGTCTCGCCAAGATGAGACTGCGGTCGAACCACGTTCTTCCGCCAATTTCGGAGTACGTCCCACGCCGCCGGCGCACGACGCGGAGTGCGTCGGCACAGGCTGGGACGGAGGTCGCAACAGAAACTGTGCCTGAGGCTGCACAAAAGACTGGGCCAGAGAGCCAGTCCGCATCAGATGTTGCCGAGCAGTCTGCCGCAGAAAGGTCCGCTCCAAAGCGGAAGCCAGCCAAGAGAGCTGGCCGGAAGAAGGTCAGTTTCGAAACGTCACAATTTTTCACAACTAACTCATGTCTCTAGAAGGCCGCGGCAAAGGGCAAGAAGGCCTCTGCTCCCACCGCGGAGACCGAAGCCGAGCCCGACGAAGACCCCGTTACGCTCATTCCGTCCGTGGAGCAACCTGACACCCGTACGTTGCCCCCAAAGCCCAGGCCCACCAGGGATCCCCCGCGCATGTTCAGAGGACGCGTTATGACGGCCTTTCGATGGGGCAGTGCCAGCGAACTCCTGCGAAAGGAGCAACATCCTGAGCCAACTCCCTCCTCTCCGCAAACACCTTTGACGCACTATGCCTGGCCGCCCGGAAGAGCTTATGATAAGCGTCGTCGAATCCCCTGGTCACTTCCCTGGTCCCCACCGTCTCCCTGGAGAAACTGGCCTCGCAGACTTGCCATCTTTAATACCCAGGATGAATCCGTGCTGACCGCCGCGGAAGAACCAACTAGGAAACGGAACCGATCGTCCGAAGACGACCCCTCCCCGTCGAAACGCCACAAGTTAACACTTCAAGCTCCACCCGGCTTCGAAAACCGTCCTCGTGGCAGCTCTCGCAGGACGTATGCGGATCGCGCGCGGCGACGCGAAGCGGAAAGGGGTGGACGAATCGATCGCACCATTTACCGTTTCCCCCAACTTTTGGCTCAGCAAGGAGAAGATGCGAGATCTGGCAATTCGACCCCTCTGGCCTCCCGTGCAAGCGAAGAGGCCGCGCCCCGTGGTAATCGCATTGTTCCGTTCGCTTCATTGCCTTCCGCACTTCCACCAAATCAGAACCAGAACCAAAACCAAAACCGGCCTGGTTGGCGACAATGGATATTCAACTCAGTGACTGGTCTTTGGGGACGAGGCAATGTGCCTCGAACTGCACAGGTCCCACAAGGTAGGTGCTCCTTATATCATGGTATATATTTCTAGTGGCTAACATGGTGATTCTAGTGGCTGAGCCTCAACGTCCAACGGGAACTGAGTCTTCATCCTCCGTCGCAACACCCACTTCAGCTCCCCCTTCCTCCTCCGCTGTGCTACCAAGAAATTTCGAATCTCCTACTCCGCGCCCGCGCGTTGCAGAGCCGCAAACCTCAAACTCGCGTCTGACAGCCAGCGCACGCGCCCCCCAAGCTGGAAAAAGAAAAAAATACTCCTACGATTTGGATCCACAGGGTTTCGACCCGGAACTGCTCGCGCGCATGCGTGCCAGGAAGTCGAATCCCGCGGCCCTCCAACAACCTGTAACTTCACCAGAGCAACTTGATGCACTCTCCGAGAATGAATCGAAGAAGCGCAAGCGAGAACCATCACCTGATGTTATTCCGCACCCTCCAGGATGTAGTTATGGGTTTGACCCAGAATACTTCATCTACGATAATGACGACGAGGACTTGCCGACAGGAGAACAGGGACGCCAAGATACTACGCCCAAACGAGCTGCAGTCAGCGCTGCAGCGGACGAGGAGCATGTCTCCAAGCGTGCGCGCCAAGATACCACGGCAAATCAAGCTACAGTCAGCGATGCACCGGAAGAGGAGATTGTCTCCAAGCGTGTGTGCCAAGATACTACGCCCAAACAAGCTACAGTCAGCGATGCAGCGGAAGAGGAGCATGTCTCCAAGCGTGTGCGCCAAGATACCACGGCAAATCAAGCTACAGTCAGCGATGCACCGGAAGAGGAGCATGTCTCCAAGCGTGCGGTCTCTGGCAATACCCACCTAGAAAACTTCAAGCACCAGGGCGCATCACAGCCCATCGAAGATTCCGGCGAAGAACTCCGCAAGGCCCGTCAGCTTGCTGAGCAGTACAAGCCGAAGACCCCCAGTCGTCTTCGAGCAGACCTTCGCTTCGAAAGCAGCTGGAGCTCGTTTGTTGAAGACGAAGCTGAAGAGGAAGCCGTGCGTCGCCGCAAGATGAGAAAAACCTCAATGGCCACGGCATGCCCTACCGGCGATCTGGACCATATCAGATGGCCAGAGACAGAAACTTGGGTTGAGCGCTTTGACTGGCAAGACCCTAACTTTGCCAAGTATCGGAGTACCTCAGTTGCAAGGGAGGGATATCTTAATTGGAACCATGAGGTTTTCATGAGCAAGCTTGCTGCTCGGCGTTCTGCTCGATAGAAAGACGAGCAAGCTTACTACTCAGCTTGTTGATCGATTAAACAACGAAAAAATGAAAAAAGAAAAAAAGAAAGAAAAAGAAAAGAAAACTTGGAAGAACTTCCCGGATTCCTTGGCCCGCCTTTTCAGGCTGGGGCCAGGCATGCACCGCCTTGGGTCTCCGAGGAACCAGGCTGGGGCCAGGGAAAGCCTGTACCATGGAGTACAGGCTTTCCCTGGCCCGCCTCCTCGGATCGACCAGGCTTGGACATCGGAGTCTGCTTTTTTTTTTGGGCCTTTTTGGGCCTTTTTGTGTTTTTTGTGTTTTTGCGCTTTTGCCTTTTGTTTCTGTTGTTATTTAGCGCATTGTCAGGAGTATTAGCGTTGATATGTAGTATTTGAATGGAATGCTTAGCTTCCAACGCAGGTCAACTGATTGTAAAGATGCGGCTCGTAGAGTAAAGGAGTAGCACCAGATAATTAAATATGACATGGTATTGATATAGATATCTACTATGCTATTTTCTAACCTAGTCGAAGCCCTGGAACTCGCCGCCATTTGCTTCCTCCGCCTTGGTAGCTTGGTTCAACAACCGCTGCTGCTCATTCTTAGCACGAATCTCCTCTAGCATGCGCTCCGTTTCAAGAGCCTTCTGCTTCTGATCTTCTGGCAATTGCTCCCATCTCTCCTTCTCCTTCCGGGCCTTTTTGAACTCCTTCTTCTTGAACTTCTTATCCCGTTCTTCGGTCTTCTGACTCCAAGCCACACTCTCCGTAGCACGGCGCTTGTTAGATCCCTGCTCAGTGCCTTGTCCATTAGCAGCCTCGGCCATAGCCTCTTTGCGGCGCTTTTCTTGCTGCTTGTCCTTGTACGTGTAGTTGGACCAGTCAAGTTGAATGCCTAACGTCCGATCTCCTTCGAAGGAGCGCGCTTCAGGCATCTTCGGCAGCTTGAGCAGTCCCCATGCCTTGCCGATAGCTTCCCAGTCAAGATCTGCAACTCGGAAGATACTGCTTGCTTGGTGCTTGCTGTAGCTGCGCAGCCAGCTGACGAATGCCTTCTGACCCTTGTCGTGCATGGCGCGGTCTTTCAACACGGCTTTGCGGACTTTGTCCGTCGCGGCTGTGGCCTGTTCATCGGTGAACTCAGGTAGGCTGTATGGTGCAACGGGGGTTTTGCGGATTTCCAGGAACGATACGTAGTCCTCCTCGCGACCTGGGTGTATGAGCACGATGCTGAGGCCTCGACGGCCGGCACGACCGGCACGACCGCATCTGTGAATAAAGGTTTTGGGGTCGGAGGGTGGGTCGATCTGGACTACTAGATCGACGGAGGGGATGTCTAGACCGCGAGCGGCGACATCGGTGGTGAGGAGGATGGAGGGGGTTGTGGAGGTGGTGAAGCGGTTGAAGTTCTTTTGGCGGACGTTGGCTTGGTGTTTCCCATGTAGTGGGACCAGCACGAACTCGTCTCCTAGGATTATTGGTAGTATTGTAGCGAGATAGTCGACACTGGAGCATGTCGATACGAAGAAAATGGTTTTTTGAGGTGTGGGCTGGACAGTGGAAAGGATGTGCTTCAGAATGGCATATTTGTGAAGCGGAGGTGTCGTCAAGTAGGTCATTTGCAGACTATTCAGCGGTTAGATTTGTCTTTTTTGGACTTGGAAAATGAGATCGAAAGACATACCTCGCTGGAGTGCGCTTTTCTTCGACGCCAGATCCTCCTTTGACCTTGACAGCAATTTTGACGGGATTTCGTAAGCCAAGCCGGACGATCTGATCGACTGCTTCACTAATACTGGCACTGAACAGTCCTGTCCGTCGCTGCTTAGGCAGCCGGTTCAGGATCTTCTGTAGATCGTCCTTGAATCCAAGATCCAGAAGTCTATCCGCCTCGTCCAGGACAAGCATTTCAAAAGATGCCTGGGGGCAGTGAACGTGTGGCGACGAAAGCAACTCCAACAATCTTCCGGGTGTAGAAACCAATACATTGGGCGAATTCTTGAGGAACAATTTCAGATCTTCCGCCGGAGATGTTCCGCCACCCAGAAGAAGTTGTGGGACGACCTTCAATGTCGATGAAGAGGTTTTCGCACGAGGAGCACCATCTTCGGCGGGTTTGATGGCTGCGGCCGACGCTGGGTGAAACTCCAATAGCGAGAGAAGAACTTGGTGAATCTGTGAGGCCAATTCTCTGATATATGAATATTAGCAATGAACTCTGCAGACCTGGATTTGCGCATTACCCACCTCGTCGGAGAAATGACAATAGCTCCAACATGATGTTTCTTGAGAGGCTGATCAAGGCGAAGAAGCTTTTCCACAATTGGAATCAAGAAGGACAATGTCTTTCCACTTCCAGTGACAGCTTCAACCACCACATCTTTATGCTGCATAAACAGAGGAATGGCTGAGGCCTGGACTGGAGTCATGCGCGTGAAGCCCATTGAGGCCACAGCGTCGAGGGACCATTCTGACAGCGGGGGCGTGAGAGCATCCCACGCTCTTGAAGACGACTTGGGAGGCATTTATTAATTCGGACAGACAGCAAGTCGTCAAATCGCTTCATGAGTCGCCATCGCAAAGTAGAAAAAAATATCGTTATCGATTAGATATCAGGCACGTGACTGCGGCTGTGTGCGGAAACCGAGATCGTGATCTGCTTTTTCCCTCGACTTAGTCTTATTTCATTTACTTTACTTTCATTTAATATAACAAGTACTTGGTGATCGCATCATGTACTGGGTTTCTACCTTGTGTCTCCAGCTTATTTGCCCATAATCAACAACAAGGCACCGTCACGTGCTCCCAAGCCGCCCATCGTTGCTTTGTTAGCAAGCCCATTGATACTCTGTGGCATACTCGCTTGCGACAACGCAGATATCTGTACGCGGCCTCCTTCTGGTGTTGACCGAGTTGCATCGCTTCCTACCTTGTATTGAGGGCAGCCAACATGTCCTCGCCAAATCCCGTACCGGCGACACCTCGCGTGATATCACCCACCCCCTCTATATCGGACCCGTCCGAGACACCCGATGGATACTTCGCACCGGTAACACGATCTGCAGCCCGTCGGCAGCATCAGCCGGAAGGTCCAGCCGAAAGTTCTGCCTCAGCGCGAACATCAAGATCCCCCACAACACCCTCGGCTCGGCGCAACCGCCGATCACACCCCAAGATACCCGCCTCACCGCCGCGCTCTGCAAACGGTACTACTTCGAAGACTCATCTATCCCCGTCAAGCATTCCCGATACCCTGCGTGATTTGTCGAGATCACCATCTCCTCTCGGACTGATCCCCCTACACGCACGCTATCGCAGCTTCATTCACCGCCATGAAATCCCGCGCAAGCTTTTGCACGTGTCAATCGGGTTCTTGACTTTATCATTATATAGCCGAGGCGTCCAAACTCTGCAGATCACACCAGTGCTCTTCACCGCACTGGTACCAATTGCAGCAACGGACGTGCTCCGGCACCGCTTCGAGAAGGTCAACAAGGTATACATTCGGTGTATGGGTGCCCTCATGCGCGAAACCGAGGTCTCCGGCTACAACGGCGTGATCTGGTATCTCCTCGGAGCGTACGTTGGTCTCCGCTTCTTCCCTAAGGATGTTGGTGTCATGAGCGTGCTACTCCTTAGCTGGTGTGACACCGCTGCTTCGACATTCGGTCGTTTGTATGGCCGCTACACTCCCCGTCTGCGTCACGGAAAGAGCTTGGCTGGTACTATCGCGGCTTGGCTCATGGGTGTTGTCACTGCCGCTGCTTTCTGGGGCTGGTTTGTGCCTTACATTGGCCCTTTCCCTAATGACCCGGAAAATGCTTTTATGTTCACGGGACGCTTGAATCTGCTCCCGAACTGTGTTCGCGGCCTTCTGGGCTGGGAGCCCAGTGACTCGGCAGTCATCACTGGCCCTTTGGCTTTGAGCGTCATGAGTGTCGTATCTGGCATTGTTGCCGCCGGCAGCGAGTTTATTGATATGTGGGGCTGGGATGATAATCTGACGATTCCGGTGTTGAGTGGAGTTGGTCTTTGGGGTTTCCTGAAGGTCTTTGGGTAGATGGATAAATGATACACTCCTGATTTATCAGCGCTTGCACGATATTCCCTTTCCTTTTTCTAATACTATATCTGGGGTTTGACGTTTAATATTTGGACATGTTTCTCTTGTGCTTCACTACCTTCTGGTGCATCAAGAATTGGATGCTTGTTTAGATAGGGACTGGCTGAAGTCATGCACATTTCGGTACTTCTCTCTTCTTTTCGATTTATACTCTTTACGTTTTCTGCATGGTTACTTTCTGGGCATGGCTTTTGTACCTTTCTTTCGGACATACGCACATGGTCTTCTTATTTACAAAAATGCCTGCAACATATCTACATGTCATCAAGCAATGATCAGCTTGCCTGATACTGACCGAAGGTATTCGACATGCCCATCCAACGCCGTAGGATACCGAAAAATGCTGTTGCACCACACATGCTTGTATTCAAAAACCCCAGACCGGGAAAAAAAGACAAATCGATGTAAACGCCAATCCGCCAAAACGAGAAGAAGGGTATATAAAAGGCATTAATCAAACGAGGTCAAGAATGCTGACGCGTGGGATTCTTTTCTTCTTGGCAGCCTGTCTGCGTGATGTGCTCAGGCTATCGGCAGTTGAGCCTTCGCACGGATCTTGTTCAGGCGGAGATTGGTCGATCGACCAGAAGCCGTCGTTTAATATAATGTTTTCCAAGTAGCCCGTGGTCTTGTGCTTCGAGATTGTGCTCGTCATCTCCTTTGACGACTTCCTGGGAGACCTATTTACGTCGTCGGTCTCGCTGTCTTCGCACGTTTTCAAGTTCAATGGCAATGTATGCTCCGGCTCGTGTTCGGGCTTGGGGTCTGCTTGACTGTAGGAACTGGATGGTTCGACATCTTCAACCTTGGACGAACGAGTGCGAACTTTCCTTGCTTGCGGTGCCTTCTTCGGTGAGGGCTGACGCAACGAGCCAGTTACAGTGTTTTCGTGCTGACGCTCGTCGATTTTTGAGGACAGAGAAAGGGACTCGATGGCCTTTTCGATGTGTTCAACCTCGGCCTTTTCTTCACACTGTACCTTGGGAATCTTCTTTGACTTAGATTGAGTTTTCCTGGACGGAGAAGGCAGTGTCATCGGTGTGCCGACTAGAAAGTCCTCCACGAAACTGTTGGATTCACAAACGTCGGAGACCGAGTAGCTAATTTTGAGCCCCATGCGCCTTGCTTGTCGAGACGGAGAATAATCGGTGTCCATGCCCAGTGCGTCCGATTCTTCAATGTCAACTCCGTCAGTTCCCAAAGCTGTGCGCCTTGATCTAATGCGGGGCTGATCCGACACGGGGTGACGCTTGATATTGGCAGAAGGAGACAAGCTACACATTGATGAGAATGTATCAAGGAGATCATCGACCTCTCGAGAAGCATAGTCACTCGTAAATGTGAACCTCTGTTGAATATACATGCTCGGAGAGGAAAAAGGATCGTTTTCCTGGTCCAGAGTTGTTGGCGAAGAAGACCCAGAACCGGCAACAAGCCGAGAAAGAGGATTCTGGGTCGATGTAGCAGCTTCCAACAAGTGCGTCTGTTTAGTCGTTGATAATTCGGATTTCTCTTTCGTGAGGGTTCCGTATTTCAAGATACTCCCCCTTTTCATTCCAGCGTCAATTGGTCCCTTTTTCTTGGGACCAGTGCGTCGAGTACTTGTCTTCTTCTTAGCCGCAGTTTCTGCGGCTTTCGTGGCTTTTTCGGCCTGTTCCTTTTCCCAGTTTTTGACCACTCCGGGAACACCTATTCTTGCGACAGTCTCGAATACCCAGACCTTTTCGAGCGAGAACGGATCAAATCGTTTTGTAACCCGAGACTTCGATGGTGTCGGAGGTGGCGATCCAGCAACTACCTCTCGGTCGTCCTCTTCCTCACCTTCCTGTAAGCTAGCTTGGGAAGGAAACGGTGGGTTTGGTTCCTCGGCAAGGAGATCCAGCCCAACAATATCTGCGGGCAGCATATCTAGTTGGAGTTCTGGCATTGCATCTGTGCCAAAGCTTGACCGGCTTCGATACACCTTTTGCAGACCAGGCGGGCAATCGGGCACAAATGAAAAGCCAGGTGACACGCCTAGAACTGGTCTCTGGAGGCGGAGTCTGTACGAGATAAGAGGCTCCGCCAGCAGCCTGATCAATTTCCTTGCCCCCGATCGATAATTCCATTCGAAGTGGTCAGCGGCAAATGTTCGGATTTCCAGGGGGTCGATATCCTTGTCCCAAGCCTGTGAGAGACGGTTTCTCAAGATGCTCATTTCTTCGTCGCTGGAAACTTTGGGCTGGGCATAGTACTCAAGAATTTGTCGGTCCGGAAAAGCACCTGGAATTCGAACTGCTGGGTGTTTCCTCGTAAAATAGCCACTCTCGTTCTCTTCGAGTTCGTACTGGAGTCTTTCTCTCCACTCGTTCAATCCTATATCCACGTCTGCTTGTGACGCAAGCTCCTGCAGAAGATCCTCGCCGAATCCAGCCTTGGCAATCTCTGCAGCAAGCTTACTGCCACATTTTGGAACACCGGATGGTAGATAGTCCCCTCCACTGAGCATAGCGAATAGAATCATTCCCGGTCGGTCAAGGGGTATATTTGATGGATGCCCATCCTGTCCCATTGCATAGCATGTGACATGAGTTGCAGAAGAGCTGCCGCTTCCGCTCTCTTTTGAGAAATTCATGATGGTCAAAGACGATCCGAACATCAATGCATCGACATCGTTGCTCATGACAGCGTCTACAATACCTGCCTGCTGCAGCCGCGCGCATTCAGCTTCTGCCTCGCCGGGTGCCTCATGCCATGGAAATCTGAATCGCTCGATGAGGTCCTTTGAGCGCTTGATGATCGGCGCATTGCCGCAACTGCGGTTTGAGACTGCCTTGCCTCTCTTGAATGCAGGTTTTTGCCGTCCATCATAGATAAAAAGGGGGTGAACTGGCAATGCAAGTAATTTCAATAATCGATAAAACAGTGTGCGTAGCTCTGGATTTCTTCCGCCCCGACCTGCTTGGACTTGAAAGAGCCAGATCGAAATGTCCACTGCAATGCGGATCGGCCTTGCTGTCCGCTCCAGGTGCGTCACTGCTAACTTTGCCAGAGAGATACGCTCTCCTGGGCCAATAGCATTGATGAGCCTTGAGAAAGTCAGCCTTTTGATCGAGAAATCTGGGAATACGAAGTTCTGCTTCTCGCGGATGGATAAACAACGCTTTCACTCAGCGCTCACAGGGATATATATGTTTCCTACCATGCAAAATCCAAAAAAAGGAAAAGAAAACGGATCACAATTGACTTACCCAGGAATACCCATGCCGACTGTAAGCAATAGGTAAATCAAAAAGCAGTTAAAGCGCCCATCTGGAGTTGAAGATGTACAATATGTCTTAGTTGCTGTGGAGAGGGTGAGGTTGTCAAGTAAATAAAGACGGCCCGATGTAGATCCGTTGCCTACCGACAAGCTCCCCCGGAGAACCACCAGGGCTATATATCTTACTTCTCTTTGTCTTTGAGTTTGATCCCATGGCGTTGAAAATCCAACCCGTGCGTAGGTGAATCGAATATTTCTCGCTACGAACCTCGCGGACTCCTATTGCTCCCATAAAGGAGAGCGACGCGCCCGAGCCCAATCAAGCATGGCGAGTGATACACCCTCAATTGGTGCGAGTAAACGCACGTCAGCAACTTCCGGTCTGCGCAATAGCCAGACAGCACGGCCTGTTTCCCCTCATACACCACAGCCACGTTCGGGAAACCCCTCGTTCGCCAGCAGCACATCACCGAGCTCCTCCTTTCGAAGCGAAGACGATGCGATAATATTTGAGATAGGCGCACGATGGCTTCGCGCAGGCTTTGAAGGAGGAAGCGCGCCCGTGTGTGTTGTTGGATTTGGACCTGAAGACTCAAGGAGAGCGGGGGACTATCGAGGATGGATCCATGGCAGCACCGGTGCTGCACGGCTACCGCAGCCCGTCGACATGGAAGAGTGGACACGGGCATATGAATTGTGGCGGCCAGATTCTCGAGAAGTTGATCTGGGCCTGGTCGAGGATAAGATCGAGCGCGTCTTTCGGGAAACATACAACCAGTTCCTGTTGACGGATGCAGGCACATCTCGCCTGGTTCTTGTTCTACCGTCTCTCATGCCACATCCATTGCTGTCGTCATTGCTCTCGACGCTCTTCAGCCGCTGGCGCTTCCCGAGTGTTACCCTTCTGTCCAGTGCGACCATGTCGGCTACAGCTGCAGGGCTGCGGTCAGCTCTAGTGGTTGACCTTGGCTGGGCTGAGACCACGGCAACGGCGATCTATGAATACCGAGAGATGACTACAAAGAGAACGACACGGTCTATGAAGCATTTGATGCAGGAAATGGGGCTGCTTCTTACTGGGTTGGCTTCTGACGGGAACCAGGATACGGAGACTGCGGATAAGATCTCTGTTGGATTCGCATACTGTGAAGAAGTGGCTAGTCGGTTTGCCTGGTGTAAATTGCAGACAGAAGCAGATACAAGCTCAGATGAACCCGACCCGAAGCTGTCGATTCCTTCGCCCGCAAAACCCGAGGAAGAATATATGGACGTGCCATTCTCACGTCTCGCCGAACCTGTTGAGAAGGTTCTATTCGCACCAGGTGTCGCAGAGCATGAATTAGATGACGAAGAAAAATCATTGCCTTTGCTTGTCTACAACACCCTTCTCTCACTGTACCCTGATGCACGAGGAACATGCATGTCCCGCATTGTTTTTGTGGGCGGCGGTTCTCGAATTCCTGGGCTGCGGCAGCGGGTTCTTAAAGAAGTCTCGCTCTTGATTGATCGTCATGGATGGAGTCCAATCCGAGGCAAAGCACTCGAGCGACAGCGACAAAGATTGAAGGAGCTGAGACTTTCAGCCCGAAAAGCTTCGAACGAACCTGAAACCCCTAAGAGCAATGGAGAAACACCATCCACCGATGACGAACCAGCCGACCCCTCGAAGGAAGTGCCCGAGATCGATTTCGTCGAACAAAAACTCCGCCGACAAAACAAAGATATCCTAGTTCCTATTCAGGGAGTGTTGCGCGAAGTTGAATCTCTTGGTCCATGGGCGGGTGCAAGCCTGACAACTAGTCTCAAGATCCGGGGGACGGTAGAGATCGAACGAGAGAAATTCTTGCAGCAGGGACTTGCCGGAGCTACGCGAGACCTCGACTATCCTGTTCCTGATCGTCGATCGGGCTTGAGATCTGGTGGTGATCGGTCAAGTTGGACGCTTGCAGGCTGGGCATGAAAATTGTAAAATTTCAAAAACAATAGATACCCCATTGGATTTCCAAGCAGTTTCACTATTTCTATACTATTTTTCTGTCATTTCTCTATTATGGAGCTTCCCAAATAGGGTAGCCGGAGGCCTTCGCGGGGAAGAGACCGCGGCCCTCCAGGGCTGAATTGTCCCTGACTTTTCTCCGCATTGAACTGACAGTCAGAGCAAAAATGAACGATTTTAGTCGGCAGTCGGTGAATTTCGGCAACGTAAACGCGGAGGATGTGAAATGCGGGGGATCTACGGACTACAGCAGTCTATTAAACAATACACAAGATGATAAATGGGTTAACGAAGTAGTTCACATACGACATCGATATTCACTCAATCTCGTACAATTGGAATCATGACAGAAATCCCAACCTTCTACAATCTTTCCCTCGAGAGGCATGGGAATGTATTCGTTGTGACCATGCAGAAACCCCCGGAGAACCGGTTGAACTCGTCATATTGTCAGGAGATGATCCGGGCCTATCGCACCGTAGAAAGGATACTGGGACCCAACTCTGAAGGGGCAGTAATCACGCGAGGTAATGATGCCAAATTCTGGTGCACTGTACGTTGAATGAAGGCCCTGAAACGGAACAACATCAGGAGAACTAACAAAATAATCCCCAGGGACTCGAGCTGGATGAATCGGACGAAAACCCATTTGCCAATACAGATGGCTTCTATCCAGTGAGAACACTCGAGCTAGCTTCAAACAAAGGCGCTAGCATGTTATATGAGGCCACACTAACAACCAGCATCCAGCTCATCCACACGATCCTCGACTTCCCGTTCCCAACTATCGCCCTCTTAACCGGCCACACCTTCGGCGGCGCCTGCCCACTAGCCCTGGCACACGACTACCGAGTCATGAACTCCCGCCGCGGCTTTATCTCCATGCCCCCGGTGAACCTAGGCCTGCACTTTGACGGGGTCGGCTCCCTCCCTCGGCTCAAGCTGCGTCCGCAGGTTGCGCGCAAGATGTTGCTTGAGGCGCATAAGTGGACTGGGCCTGAAGCGCTGGAGGATGGGATTGTGGATGCTGTCGCGGAGCCGGAGGAGATGCTGAATATTGCTTTGGAATTGGGGGCGAAGTGGGCGCCTAAAGCGAAGATGGGGTAAGTCTTGATCCGTACGAGTTCTTTCCGACAGAGAGAAAGTCTGCTGATGCCGTGCAGGGTGTATGCTTTGCTTCGTCAGGAGCTTTGGGGGAATGCTATTAAGAAGTTCCAGCGTATTAGTTATGTTCATGGCCGGGTGACTTCGTCGACTGCTAAGGTCAAGATCTGATAGAGGGACAATTATTCAGGACATGTATGTACATATAAGGTCTAGCAAAGGGGGACACCTGAATTTGATGTTTTCTCTTTCTTTTCAATCATTTGATCCTATAGGTTGGCCTTATTCTCCTTGCTCCAGACTTGCACCTCAGGCAGCTCTCGATAGTTAGGCGGGAAGAACTGCGGTCCCAATATCTTCTTCTGCACCTTTCCCGTACCCGACTTAGGCAACTCACCTTGGACCACACGAAGGATAGTTGGAATCTTATACCCGGCCATCCTACTCCGCAGATCCTCCCGAAGCTCGGCAATTGTGAGGCACTTACGTGCTGTCTTTTGATCTTGTTTGAGGCTGACAGTAGCAGCAACTCGTTGACCGAACTCCTCATCTTCAACGCCCACAACCATGACCTCGGAAACATAGTCCAGACCCAGGATCTCGCGCTCGATATCCAATGCGGAGATCTTATAGCCACCTGACTTGATAATATCAACCGAGGCACGGCCTAGGATGAAATAATATTTCCCTTCGCGGCGAGCAATATCCCCAGTTTTGAAGTACCCCTCTGCGTCATGTGCATCCGCCGTTGCTTTCTCGTCGAAGAGATACCTGTTGGAAAGACATGTGAGGATGGACCACCGCGTCTCGAAAGGCCATTCGACTTACTTGGAAAACATATAAGGGCCCTTCACTAGTATCTGACCTTCCTCGGTAAGCTTGAGTGAGACCGCCTCAGCAATACAACCAACACTGTTTCGCGGCGTTCCATCGGAATCAAGTTCAGTCTTGATGACTGCGCCAAATTCTGTTGCACCGTAGCGAGTGAGAATTGGTCTGTTCCTAATATTATGCCAGAACTCTTGTACTGGTCCTGGAAGTGCCGAAGTACCACAAAGCATAGCTCTAATCTGACGCGCACCAGCGGTATACTGGTCACGTATCTCAGGAGCTTGGTTTGCAATATTCTCTTCATAGTACCGCATCATACGCATGTATATGGTGGGAACTCCAGAGAAAAACGTAAGACCTCCCTGTCGCCAGCGCTCCCACGTCCACGCTGTGTCGAAGCTGCCACTGCGGAACTCAATACATGCGCCGGCTGCGAGGAACGGGAGGAAAGTCAACCCCACACCGGAGGCATGATGCACCGGAAGAACATGGAGGACTGTGTCCTTGTCTGTGATTTGGTAGTAGGCTGCGTCGGCCTCTCCATTTCCGGAGATATAACTGCGACGCTGCACAGCGCCCTTTGGGGGCCCTGTCGTGCCGGAGGTGTAAATTACCAATGCTGCGGCGTTCATATCTGGAACCGGACCGGAGGAGATGGTCATTTCATCTGATGGGAGAAGCGTGGGGCGGAAATGAGATGCCATTGGGGTTATGCAGGGGATATGGACGCCTTTGCTTTCTCCCATATAGCGAACCACGGACTGGGCGGTCTTGTCGCTGGTCGTGCTGGCTACCAGAGCTACACATCGTGCTTTCAATAAGAAGTACGAGGCTTCTTCTGCTGGCAATACAGCAGCTGCTGATTTTTAGCTATGGTCCCCTTGCAGAATATTGAAACTCACCCATAGGCACCACTGCTGCACCCATTGCGAGGATTGCGATGAAGCTGACGGTGTATTCATACCCCCCGGGTGCAAGCAACCCAATGTATACCTCCTTATCTGCAATCAAATCGCATCGAGCTTCATGGCTGAGTGATGTTTCCAAGACCTTGCGAAAGGCTAACACATCCGAAACAAGATGATGGTATGTCTTTTCCACGCCGGCAACCAAGTCCCGAACCACAATGGGCGAAGGCTTACGTTGCGCATAACGCAATAATCTGTGGAAAAAAGGAAGATTTGGCAACACATTTTCTCCCACATGTGGAGGTATGAATAGAGTGCGGTCTCCCATTTTGTTTGAGCGTGCGTGTGCTGCTGAGCTGGGATAGTTGATGGTCTTATCCTATTGCATTTGAGTATACAAATTGCGACAGCATTCCCCCGCTGACCATGCTAGCCAATAATCTATCGCTATACCCGTGTCTATTCGGCTACTTGCTACTTCTCCACGGTTTACATTTGCCCTGCGGGGTAGGAGTGTCGGCATTCGGGACTCGGTGATTTTCATGGTACTATGGACTTAGCCAAGGTGACTCGGCACGCGTATTGATCTATGAATAAATTCGAGGATTATGGAACTGTGATTGGGATACAGCACTTCAAGAGTAAAAGGATTCAAAATGCCTGATTTCACGGATAATCTTCGCCCAAGCCAACCAGATGGGCCAACAACACTAGGCCGTGAGCGTCAACAATCCAACATCGCCACTGAAGAGCTTGGACAGTATTTGTTGGGCTCGGATGGATTTTTGGAACGACAAGCTCGGATCCTGCCCATCATAGAACAAGAGCCACTTTTCTCCAAAGAACAACAACAAAACCTCTCCAGACCGGAAAGGTTCAAGCTAGGAGTTGCGCGGGCAAAACTCTTACGCCGAATGAAAGACACGCATAAATGGAGCTACCTCGAATACCAAATGGCCGAGTACCTGGTCGACGACGTGTCACCTTACTTCCTGCACATGGAGATGTTTATCACGACCATCCGCGAACAGGCCAGTGAGGAACAGCAGGCGTACTGGCTGCCCCTGATCGAGTCCTGGAAGATCATTGGTGCATATGCACAGACGGAACTGGGACACGGGAGCAATGTCCGTGGCTTGGAGCTTGAGGCACGTTGGGATAGCCGGACCAAGGAATTCGTGCTGCATAGCCCGACGCTTACGGCAAGCAAATGGTGGAATGGCAGTTTGGGCCGTTTAGCTAACCATGCTATTGTGGTCGCTCAATTGCTTCTGCCGGATCCTAGCTCGCTGGATCAGTACATTTCGCATGGCCCTCATCCGTTTATTGTGCAGGTGCGGGATATGAAGACACATCAACCGTTGAATGGGATTGTTGTTGGAGATATTGGGCCGAAATATGGCTACATAACTATGGACAATGCGTATATGCTATTTGACCAGTTCAGGTTTGTTCCTCGGCTATACCCTACAATTGTCTTTTTTTTCCTTCACTGATAATATGCTAGAATCCCACACACTGCTATGCTATCCCGATACTCAAAAGTCGACCCCAAAACAGGAACCTATACCAAGCCAGAGCAGCCAGCTCTGATATATGGATCACTGACCTATGTGCGGTCGAACATGGTCCACCGCGCTAGACTCGTCCTCGCACGGGCAGCCACCGTTGCGGTGCGGTACAGCAGCGTGCGACGCCAGTTCCAAGACCGAGACGGCGACAAGAAGGGACCGGAAATGTCCGTTTTGGACTATCCAACTGTCCAAATTCGGATCCTGCCTCTTCTTGCCACGACCTTTGCACTTCACTACACAGGTCTTGCCATGCAGGCAGTCTACAAAAAAGCACGACGGGATATCGAGAAGGGAGATTTCCGTTCTTTGGCTCATATGCACAGCATGTCTTCCGGATTGAAGAGTCTGTGTACCATCCTCGCTGCGGATGGTATTGAGACATGTCGACGTGCCATGGGTGGGCATGGCTTTGGTGGTGGGAGTGGCTTGATCCAGGTCAATAATGATTACCTCTCCAAGCCCACTGTCGAGGGTGATAATTGGATGATTACACAGCAGGTTGCGGCATACGTGATTAAGAGGATGACTGCTGCTGTCAAGTCGCCTGATACTGCCGGGGTTGATGAGACTGATGCTCGATTCAAAGAATTCATTCGCAATAAGCGCCGGCCAGGATCAGAGAAGCAGACATACGATATCTTGAACAGTGATTTTCACATTGTTAAGAGCTTTGAGCTGAGAGCTACTGCCATGGTAAGTTCTACAAAATTCATACGATCAAACAACTTGAAACTGACAACCAACAGGCATACGAAGCATACGAACAAAGAGTCATCAAAGAACGGAACTGGAATAGCCTTCTCATCCAGCTTCACAAGTTAAGTCGCGGTAAGCCAAAATCTTGAAACTAGATGTCGTTCCACACTGGCCTAAGACAAATTCACCAGCACAATCCGAATCGATCATCGTCGCGACCTTCTTCGATGCCCTCTCTAACGACAAAGCCCTCTCAGAACCCATCAAAACCGTCCTATGGGACTGTTACCGTTTATTCGCATTATACAGTATGGAGAACGAAAGCTTCGAATGCAAGTCATCAGCGACAGACTAAACATTAATCCCCACAAGCTAATGAACACGACAGTCTTCCGCACCAACGCCGTCTCCCAGGCAGATCTGAATTCCCTAGCCAGTCGAGTCCAAGAGCTGATGGCACGTATCCGTCCACACGCTGTGAAACTGGTTGACTCGTGGATGATTCCTGACTACTTATTGGACAGGTGAGTGATTAAGTCGGTTGTGATGATTTGATGCAGAATTACCCGTAGCTGACTCAAGTATAGTGCGCTGGGCCGGTACGATGGCCATGTTTACGAGGATCTATTTAACCGCGCCCATCGGTTGAATCCCTTGAATAGGATTACTTTCAATCCGAATTATTGGGAGGATGAGATCGTGAAGGGGAGTGGGCATAATGGGCGTGGTATTTTGTCGAAGTTGTAGATGTCTATTGTCTGCACAGGTCGCGTTGGAGAGCGAATTCGCATGTACAGCTAAACCCAATGTCCCATTATATCTGTTTGCAGTATCGCCGCTCTGTGTCCTATTGAATTGGCCATAGGTGGCTCTCATTCGTACAATTGAGGCAATAATTCCAAAATAAGCGCTGCGCGTAAAGGTCCACACAGAGATAATTATTAATTCACTACAATTAGGTAACGCAATGACTATAGAATTATGAAATCTAGATAGTACCAAATTGGTAAGTAGCCCAGTTAACGGCAGGGCCATCATCAGGGCCAAAGACCTGGTAGGGAACACGGCCCCACTCAGGATTGTTGATACCATCGATCCAATCCTCGGTCTCGATAACGAAGCATCCATACTTGTTAACGTGGGTGGCACCGGCGTCACCACCGTTAGCCTCGTTTCGCTTCGCCTGCGACTGCTTGGTGGCGATGGTGCCGTTCTGCCCGCTGCAGGTATAGATCTGCAGCGCAGCCTGGTTCGTAGCGACGTCGAGGCTGATACCAGTGGAGCTAGACGACGCGCCTAGAACCGTGACCATTGAGCCCGATGCGTACGTGGAGGGCCGGTCGACGAGGAAGCATGTGTCGTAGCCTGTGCAGCCGGCGCCGCAGAGGTCGTAGGTCTTCTCAATGTCCTCCCCAATGAGTTTGGGGCTGGTGAAATCCAGAGCTCCTTGGTAGGTGGTTTCAACGTCGTGGATGGTGCCATTCGGGATTAAGATGCTGTCTCCACCGATGAACCGCTGCGAGAGCGGAAGCTGCAAGGTGGTGTCCTTCAATACGTTGGATTCTTTGAATGCGTTCAGGTTCCAGTAGATGTGGTTGGACAGCATGATAGGGGTCTTCTCTGTAAGAGAGAGAGCCACCAGCTTTGCGGTCAACTGGGGAAGTCCCTTGGGGTTGGCTTGAGTTTTCTCCGTAGACACGCTGAAAGTAGCGTGGGTAATGACGTCTCCTGGGAACTTCTCAAAGCCTTGATCGAGCAAGGTGAAGGTGATAGAGGAATCGCTGTGCGAAGTGACTGTCCAGTTGCGCATATCATATCCGGTGAAGCCACCGTGGAGGGTGTCCGCGCCACCGTTTTCATTCTCAGGAACGTGGTAGTTGTTGTCATCGATGGTGAAGGTACCGTTCTTGATACGGTTGGCATAGCGACCGACAACTGCGCCGAAGAACGTGCGATTGGTCTGACTATCAAGCAGATATTCCCTTGGGTCGTCGTAGCCAACGACCACATCTTGGACGTTACCGTCGCGGTCTGGAACTAGCAAGGAGGTGAGACGCGCGCCGTACGGAATCAGCTTGGCAGTGATATTCTCTGCCTTGATCGTATAGCTCTTGAAGTGATCGGCATTTGAGCTAGCAGCAGACGGCGAGGGAGCAGCCTGGGAGTGAGATGGCGATGGCACAGCATTGGCCAGGGCGGGCAGCCCATACAGGGCGGCTGTCACATAAGACTTGAAATGCATTTCGATTCCCAGGAGAGTTGTGACCGAGAGGAACAAAATACAGAAGAGAAGAAAACGAAGGGTGATCCGGGCAGGGCAAACTAATGAACGGAGCCAACGGAGGGGTACAGGCATTTTATAAGAAGCTCCGTTCGGATCGCGCGATAAACATTCCCCAATTCGCGCTAAACTCCGTCCGCATGGCTTTGACGCTAGGGGGCGGGGACGTAGACGGAAACCGGGGTAAAGGTTCTGGTGAGACCAGGATTTATCCGAATGCAGGTGGTGTGATTGACGGGCAGGTCAATGATTGGACTGTTCGGACAAAGCGGACGCGGGTAAATGAGGGGAAGATCCAAGCCCCAATTCCTTCGACGGATGTAACTTAACCTTGGAAAGGGCCGTCCAGTCAAGCTCAAGAGGCGCTGTGCCACTGACGGCACGGAACAAATCGACCGAGTCCACACGGCAAAACTCCGGTGGAGTGCGAATCACGTTGTTTACCGCCCGACGCCCTTAGTCAGCCTCCGGTCCAACCATGGGTGGGTGGACAGGTCGGTCTTTTCAACCTGGGTTAGTTCATTCCTAGGTAACCATGGAAGGTCAAGCCACCAGCACTATAGAAGTCAAGAGAAAGAGAAACAAGAATCGGCTACTCAATAAGGCCCAAAGATCGTTTCAACCCGACGATAGGCATAGAAGCTCGTCGCCACCCTAGGAGCCATTTTCACATAGCCAATGGTCAGCCCAACATAAAAACCTCTCATTCCTCTCTCCAGAAAAACACGTTGGGCTGTCTCCAAAATTCTTGATTTGGTATCACCCACACTTTCGACTCGCATTCGGCGCCGAATGATATCAATCGGGTAAGGAACAGTTTAAGCGACTATGCCAGCGACTGCGCCACAGGAAAGCTGCGCAACCGCGGTCAGTCGAGTGGAAGAGTGCGCTTCTAGAGAATGCCCTTCTAGAGTGTAGGGTGCAAGGGCAGACGTGCGAAGCCAGTCTCTGAGCAGATCATGGGTGAGGAATGACGTGCCACCATACGGAAGTATGCGTAGCATAGTCGGGCAATTCCTCTATAGAGATTTGAGAAGCCTCCGTAGACTCCTTCAAAATAAATTCTCCGAGACATACTATATATAATCCATGTGATATCCACCGTAATAACTAAATATGGTCCCTAAGAAGAATACCTTCATTAGCGCGAATGTTTTAGCCGATAGTTGGCCATGTTTCTTCAACGCCAGGCCACACTTATTGCTTGCCATTGCCAAGCCTTTCGATATGCTTAAATTTCTGTTCCCAAAAAGGAGCGCTTATCTTTGTTCTATCATCCCGAACAACCCACGTGGCCTCCGAGTGAAACAATCAACTGAGACATCCCAACCATTGTGTAAGTTTAGGATGGTTTTAACCGAAGTCATAATTGGCTAGGGAGGGTGAGAACCAACCCGATGGCATATCTTATAGGTTAGCATCATGTGACGCTCTATATTTTGCCCAGCTCTGTCTGAACTGGTTAGTTCGCAGGTTCCTAGAAGTCAACTCTCGCCGCAACAGAGACAGGTTTGGCTTCAGAGAGCGAAATGAGCGACAGTCCGAAGCCTTCTAATCCATCTATAAAGGACATAGCGGGCCCAGTGGACATCGAGTACGTATGCTTATATAAGGGTTAAGACACTAAATACCACTTGAAATATCCTACTTGAAATGTCTACCACGTTAAGTTCCACTTCAGTCTCGGACTACTCTCGAACTAGCCTCGATCGTGTCTCGGAACGGATTATGGGGCATTTATGGCCAGCTGCGTTGAACCTTAAAGCCGTTTCAGGTCAAAGAGGACCAGAGACAACCCGGTTCAACCTCTCTAACTCCAGTTTTTATATTGGAGAAAAAGATAGTGTAGGGTTTAACAATTTCTTATAAGACGCAGCTCCTCTTACACGGAAAGAGGTGCCTCTATCAACTATTGAACACTTTTATATCTACCCTTTAACAGTCGCAACAAAAGGTGCCTCTGAATCGTTAGCCCTTTAAACAAGGGCCTCTAATTCCATCGATATGAAGCTTCAGGTAAGAGGCTAGAGTATGAGAGTCTCCCTCAATAGAGGCCGATATTACATCTAGGTTGCCGCACTCGGCACTTCTCCCGGCGCTTAGCTGAGCTTGCGCCGCATACGACCTCTGTCTTTGCACCAACAGCGACTGTAGCTTCCACGAAGAGGGTACCAAGACGACTTGCGGTCACTGGGCTGGAAACCTAGACACCTTTGAAGATGGCCGCCATTACTGCGCAGCCAAATCATTTGCCGCCGGTGTAGGGGGAGGACAGATCTTGTCCTTTAGCAACTGCCGCTGCAGAGAGGTGTGCTAGCAGAACGGTGCCACCGGTGACTCTAACTGCTGGGCGAAGGAGTGATAGATATGCTCATTGAAGCATAGAGGAAGATTAGAGGGGGAGGATAGTATGACGATTGACAAGTTTGATGCTTGATGCCTGCTGCCGCAGGTATACCATATGTATTTAGTTCGTCTCTCGTTCTCTCGTACTCTCTCCTTCTTTCCTTCCCCATGCTTAGTTATTTGGTTGAAGTGCCACTATGTTGGTGGATCTCTGTCTCTTCGTACCTGGGCGTAATAGATTGTTTGTTTAAGACAAGACCTATCAGAGCAGAAGGCCTGTCAGTCAGGTAAAGAAGAAAGTAGCAAGTCCAAATTATGGCAATACCCTTTCTTGAGGAACCCTCCAGAACCAAGATGAGACACTCTATTTAACATAGTGCTCTATATAGTCTATCGGAGATCCCCCGAGTCCAGACCAGTCTGCTTTGAAATCAAAACGAGGGACGTACATAAGGAGGATCCAGCTGAATGCAAGAGGGATTCAGCTGATGTGATATCAGAGAGGGACATGTAGTTGGTGTAACACAAGGAGGGCCTCTATGGGCCGTGGGGTCATTCTCGCAAAGATCCAGAATGACTGCGCCAACTTAACAACGATCTTCGTCAAACTCAGACTTCTGTCATACTGCTGCGGGCTTTTGCGCCCAGACTCTTCGTCTATGCAGTAGCATCAGTCAGTAAGAATGGTGTCGTCCAGAATCGAACGAGAAGAATAATCAACTAGGAACTTACACCCTATGCTAAACATGGCGATAAGAGTTCTAGAGCTCCTTACGTATACACATGGACTTCTCCTTATGACGGAATAAAATACGGCATTCTACCATTAGACTATGACGAAAACCAAGGTTCCTGTTTATGGCCTTAGGGGGCGCATATCCCAGTCTGACACTTTGGTCGACGGCTGCGGCTTGCCAAACTTTGTGAGAAGCTATATACGGATATCTAGTGTTGGAAATTGAAGGTGCCAAACTCCTTTAAGTCCGTCTCTGGGCCATGGGCCAATCGGCCACTTATAAGTCTTCTCACGCATATTGACAAATCGAGCCTTTCGGATGCTGCTAGGGATGGTATCGATGGTATCGCACTACTACGGGTGCACCCCGGGGCTTCCGGGATTTCCAAGTAGAAATAGATGTTTATATTACCGTGAAATTTGAAACCTAGTCGACATCTGACTTAGAGCTCACGCATAAACTCCCTTTTGATTGTTTCGGTGACGCCAAATCTCAACCTCACCACCACCGCGAATCACGCCAACTCGCATCGAGGAAAGGAGGTTGTGAGCGGCATTAGAGTGAGAGTAGACACCACCGTTGAAAATGGCAGTGGCATCTTTACCGATGGCCGATGAAATGAGGGTTTTACCACCAGGATGTTCCATGATAAATTTGCCCACATCGTGAACAACACCAGCAATGGCAACCAGAGCCTTGCCACTTTGAGCTTCCGCAATGAAATCGTCCCAGTCGACAACAGGCAGCTCTTGCAGAGGGACACCCCAATCAAGCCTAGCGCGTTTCTGGTCGAGCTTCTTCTGCAGTTGTTGCACACGACCCTTCTCGATTTCGTTGGCTCGGAACTGCTTGAGGTTGGTTGCTAGACCGAGCTGTTTCCACACCCAGATTGACCACTTCGTGGGATCATATTGCCACCATTCGATAGCGTTGCGGTAGTCGGAGGGGAACTAGTCATCGTTGAGTGAGTGCGAAATAAGTGCAAGGGGAGAGAGACCCTTCTTACCTCGTGGTGGAAGTTGTGGTAGCCTTCGCCAAGAGTGATTAGCGCGGTAATGACGTGGTCGCGAGGCGAGTTTCTGTCGTCGAATGGCTAACGCGTGTCAGAGTGAACGGGAATATCATAAGCCAACCTTGGAATGACTGACCTGCTCACCCAACCAATGGGCGAGAGAATTGACGCAGAAGGTGGCTTGCTGCACGAACGAGAACCGAAGAATTCCAGCATAGACAAGGCCACCCTTCCAGTCACCCCATCCGAGGCCAGCAACGAGCATAGGGAACAGCATCCCGAAGACCAAGATGACAGATCCATAGTGCTTGTGCTGCCAGACGACGACCGGGTCCTCATTCAAGTCGGAGATGTCAGTTCTGCCACGGTTCTTTGGGTTTTGATTCAGAACCATCCACATGAAATGCGAATACCAAAGACCCTTCATGACGCTGTATGGGTCCTTGACCGTGTCGGTCCATCGGTGGTGTGCCCTGTGCTTACTGCTCCACCACCGGATTGAGCCTTGCACGGCGCCACCGCCGACACATGCGAGGAATACCCTAACTGGAAGGCCACTAGAGATATTAGATGTCAGTCAGTGCATAATTTGAAGCAAACTAGGAGGTGAGGCAGCGGCAGACTCACGCTTCGTAAGATCTGTGCGCCCACAGACGATGATAGCCAGCAGTGATACCCAGTCCCGTCCAGAAGTAGTAGAGAATTGCCCAAGCAGCTGTGACTGCCCTCAGCTGTGTATAGAATGCAGCGACGACGCCACCGACGGGTACGATCAGGATAAGGGTCGTGTTGACCCAGTTGACATGTTGATACCAGTTACCGAGTGTGACGGGCTCCTCGCTGATATGCTGCTTCTCACTTGGCTCAGCTTTGGCCATTATGGTCGTGGGGTCGAAACTAGTTTTTATGAAATTCAGGGGATTGAATTGATAGCTGTGAGGTGAAAATGGTTTAAATTGCGGACCCTGAATGCGGGAACATTATTTAACATAAAAAGCATTCTAGGTGTCTCATACCAACCAGTCACTCGTCAGTTGTGTTGCGCCCAGCAAGAAAGTGTTGAACCGTTGGGAATGTCAGGCAATACATGGCACAGTTCCTTAGGGCGGGATTCCTCCGAGCCCTGTCCCCCCAACACTAAAATCAGCATAAAAACTATAAGATTCGTCATTCAAAGACCCATTATTAGTTGAATTGCTACTATCTCGAACAATAATTGATGCTCGAAGTGTTATAGAAATTGAGGGTAGGTCACGAGTTCGCCACTGGTTCTGGGACCCGGGGCCAAAACCCAAGTATGTCCAAATGACTGGAATCCAACGTCAAGCCTGGCTTTCACTCAGCATTGGACGTGAGGCGTATTGAATATTCCGGGAGGTGGTTTAGGGTTAGACTTTGCTATCGTTGTCTGGAGCCTATGGTACCCTGAGGCAGTATAGCCTGTCTGGCCCCAAGTGTTAGAAAAAGATCTAGTCAATCTAGTCACTTCCATTGAAAGGAAGGTTGGATAAGATACACGTATTTCTAAGAAAAACATACTAATTTTGACTTGGTTAATATCGGATGTCCCTATTTGTGTGGCCTTGGACGGCGAGACACTCTTCCTGGGTTCCTATAGTACATTGCTCATATATGAGCTAGCTCAAATCTGCCCAAACTAGACTGTTATCGAGAGCGTCACACACGTAGTTCCAATGATTATTGGAAGAAAGCTCCAATATTATATTACGATATACAAAAGAAGAATCTCGTTCGTTAAATCATGTTCCAAGGTTGGTCCATCGTTTCCTGAATCGGCGATGTCTATAGGTAGTGGCTCCAGGGAGGCTGAGATGATCCTCTAATCGTACCAGCCCATCGCACCTTCCTCGTGTTGTATCCTTTGTACCTATTGTATAGATGCCTCATACAAACAGTACTTAATTTCAACATATATTGTTAAGGGGGAAGGTGCGTTCCAAGGTTGGGCGTTTGTAGGAGGTTCACAGCAGAAAAACATTCGATCTCAAATTACCGTAACCTTCATTTTCCCGTGACCTTGAATATAGGGCCGAACAGCAATTCCCACTTCTCCATATCGACTTTGGCTGCTTCCTCCGCCAGCCGTTCGGATCTGCATACCATCTGATCACTCCCAGTCAACGCCCACAAGCCGACCGTTCTGCTCCAAACTTTCCGTTGACGATAACTGCCTTCGTAAATCGAGTCAAACAAACTCTCCCTGTTTTTGCCGCAGCGGCTACCCCACTCCTGGAATACAGGGCCAATGAATTTGGATCTCTAATTGACTGCGGAAGCAAGATTTAGCGCCGCAGTCGCGCTTGCTGCGGGAGGGAAGTACCCACAGTAGCAATCCACTACGTCAACGAGCCTGATTTACCGATGAAAGCTCATCTGGTTTCCGCTTCACTCGATAGCTTCGTGGAAATGGCCAAATAATGGCAATCAAAACCCATTGATCACGACTGCGGTGCTAAGGGCTCATCAATGACTCACCCAGATCAGAATTCCGCAGTATCCGAGAGAATCAAAGCCCCACAAATCTTCTGTGGCATTTTGCTTTGCGGAAAGGGTTGTGGGGCGCAACGTAAGGCATCGGCGCCATGCAAGCCCTTGCTTTCTGTGATATTGGCGCACTTGATCACGATTGCAAGATTCTCTCGACATTGTATACAGGAGACGATATTGCAGTATAATCCTAGCGCTAGAAACACCCTCGCTTTAGAGCCAGACAGGTTCTACTACATTTCATGCACGGAGTAAATATTTCCTAGCCTAATCGCCTTGATAGAGCGTGGGCTTTTGCAGGTGCAGGGCGTGCCCAGCTGACATCAGCCATGCGGGAAAGTTACCTACTGAAAGTGAGCGTACGCAAATGTGAATAGACGCTATCGTGGGGGGTACCAAATAGTGCATAAGCATAACCTCGAGAACTAAATCAGGCTGATACTCGACAATAGAAATCGACTCGGCGCATCCAGTCTCGACACGACACCCCTAAAAATATACAACCGAACCGTGGCCGGCTGCTCCATGACTCCAGTTAATCTGACTGTCGTTGCCCGTTTAGGAGAGGCTCTCGGTCGGCTTACTGTAAACTAGTAGGATTCGAATATGGCAAGTTTGGCCGCGATGAGCCTTATGACCCTTCAGGTTTTTGTTCATGCAAACCCCTGTATCTTTCAATCCGTTGTCGAATTGGATTTCTCCCACGGATTTCGGAGGCCACGAAAGGACTAGCCATTATCAGGGAGCAGAACCTTGTCCATGAGCCCTTGAGTAAAAGTATTGAAGCCCGCCTTTCAGCCATAAATGGCATGATACAACCCAAAGCAAAGCCCACTAAACGGCAGTCGGAATGTGTAGATCGTTTTCGAGCTCTTGCCTCCCTTGAGTTTCACGGTCCTCAGTGCAACTTGAGGGAAATAATTGCGGATCCACTATTTTGTCCGTACACTCTCCGAAATTTCTTGCATAGATGTAATGAAAAAGATCCAACATCTTATTTCTCAAAGGGCAATCCACAAGAATTCGGTCGGGGTCTGCCGACCTTTGTGATCCTCAAATAGACGACATATAGTGGCAGCAAAGATAAAGCTTTAGCGGACTGCCTTGCCCTATTGAAGCCAGACTAAGAGAACAAAAGAAAGCAGTTACATGTGAGGTTTCGTGTTCCACGGGGATGACAGCATAACCATCTCGCCTAGTACTTGCCAGCTCAAAGGAGGATCTCCCGCACCTCCACCGACCCCAATGCCACACTTCCCCCAGACACCTCCAGAGACACACCATCAGCGGACACGTCAGGGAAGATCAAGTTCGAAATAACCGCCTCCCCTTGGCCCCCAAAGACCTCAAGAGAGCATACATCAACCAAGACACGCAATTGTACCTCCCCATTCGCACCAGGCTGCACAGTAGCAGTGTGGACACCACCAGCTGCGGAATCATACGAGATATTCCCGCTGGTATTGCGATCAACCGAGAGTTGTTTAGAACTCTGCACATACCTGATGAAAGTCTGTTGAGAGCCTGCCTTCCGAACAGAGAGAGAGAGCGTAGAACCAGGGGAAGGGGTGAAGGACATTTTGATATCGAGTGTCCGGGAATGGATGTTGGAAAGCAATGTCTGTCCAGGGGCAATAATTTGATTCGTGATATTTGCAACGGGCCACGCGTACGTGTTGACCTCATCCAAGGGCAGTTGCAGGAATCGCAGCTTGCCATTAAACTGCTGAAGCTCCAGTGTGCGAGGGAATGACAGCATTCCTTTCCAGGTGTTTGTTGGAGGGTGTCCACCGTAACTATTCATCACGGACGCGAGAATCCTACGTCCATCCGAAGCAGGGACATTTTCCCAAATGAGGGCCCCGTCGAAGTCGCGGCCGTAATCGAGCCAGAATGCGCTGGGGTCAACGGGGTCCGCTGTGAATACAGCACCGTCGAAAGAGCCCGTGACTGCGAAGACGCCATTGCCGCCAGCAGGGGACCCAGTGGCAGGAGTGATGATCATAACCCATTTCTTCTGTGTCGTCCCTTTGACCGGGAGTTCGAAAAAGTCCGGCACCTCCCACCCATTGATTTCGCCGGGTAAGTTTGGAATGTTGTTGGCAGTGAAGTCGCTTCTCCAGGTCCAAGCTTTTGCATCGCTCGATGTCCAGAAAGTGACTTTATTCTGGCCGCCGTGTGCGAGAATCATTACCCATCTGCTCGACGGAGTATGGTAAAAGACTTTCGGATCCCGGATTTCCAGACCCTTGGTGATATCATGGGGCTCTTCCTGGGTTTTCGAGATTATCGGATTGCCTGGGTATTTGATCCATGTGACGCCCTGGTCGACACTATATGCTAGCCGCTGATCCTGCACCCCAGTCGAGGGGAAGTAACCAGTATAGAACGCGAGATATGGCGGGTTTGATGGCGATCCCAGTCCCGAAAGATTCTGTGGGTCGAAATACGCGGTCCCGGTGAATGCTTGTATTCCATCCGCACTGGAGATTGCAACTGGATTGTGAGTCCAGGATACCAGATCAGTGCTGGTTGCATGGCCCCAACTGAGGTTCCCCCAGAAGTTTCCAGTGGGGTTATGTTGGAAGAATAAGTGCCATATGGATCCGATTTTGATAAGACCGTTGGGTTCATTCATCCAATTTTGCTCTGGCACGAAGTGGAAAACAGGGCGAAAGTCGACGGGAACAGTAGCGGATGGGCGGACGGTAGTGCTTCTGCTTGTGGCAGTCGTACTTACCGTCGTACTTAGTGTCGTACCTACCGTCGTGCCGAGAGTTGTGCTGGTCGTGCTGGTCGTGCTGCTGGTAGGTGGATCGAAAGCGGACCCCAGAAGCTTTGCATTAATCGTGATCTCACTTGTACTTCCCCCAGTTGAGAAGAGCCGGACATCAGCGCCTGTGTCCTGGGGAAAGATCTGCGCCGACAAGGTGACCTCGCCTTGGCCGCCAAAGACTTCAACCGAAGAAGAATCAAGAAGGATGCGCAGAGTGACCTTGCCGTCACTGCCAGGCGCCAGAGGCGCGTAATAAGTATTGGAGAATGTCCCGTCAAAGCCAACGTTTCCAGACTTGGTTCGATCGACAAACATCCTCTTTGTACCGAAGTCGTACCCGATTCGTGTCTGCTGTGCCAGGTCAGAGGTTGCTCTGAGCAGGACGCCGAACTGAGCTGGAGACGCCGAGTTCCGGTCAGAGAATGTCACTGTGATATCGAGGGACTCCCCCGAGAGCGGAATAGGTTGATTTCCTGTAGCCACAGTGCTCAGAGCATCGGAATACGTTCCTGTCTGTAGATTAGCCCAGTTGGCAGCAGGTTGCTGGATGAGTGTTGGCCACCCGTCGATGGTCTTAAGTGACAGTTTCCGAGGAATGGACAACATGCTGCGCCATGGAGAGGTAGGAATATTGCTCGCATATTGCCAGTTGTTCATCCAGGCAATGTTCGTGCGGTCTGCAGAGGGAAGTCCATTAAATGGTGCCGCAGCATAGTAGTCAGGGCCCCAGTCCATCCAGTTGGTCCCTCGCGGCTCAGCCGATGCATCCGAGAAGGATATTTCATCCACGAGGATATGTCCCCAGCCAGTCGTACTGAGATCGTTGATTTCTATGACGGCACTCTGACCAATCAGAGCTCTGACGTCCCAGCTCTTTGGCAGAAGCTGTTCGCTATCACTGCCCGTGGCAGTGCGGACAACCTGGCCGCCGACCTTGAGGTTGATGCATTGCACACCTGGAGCGTTCCCGCCACCAATGAGGAAGTTGATGCTTTTCTTGGTGATTGTGAAGGTGGGCGAAATCAGAGTCCCGGTCGTCGCATCGCCATTGTAGAAGGTGTTCACAAAGTTTCCCCGATACCCAGTCACAACTTGCTGTCCCGGAAGCGTGCCCTGCGCCGGGCTCTGCCCGACTAGATCTCCAGTAGCGGTCCATCCACGACTCGCGAAAGTACTGGTCCCATTAAAATCAAAAACACCATCACTACTGGGCGGTTGCTGGGTAGCATCACCAGAGAAGGTAATCTCGTCAATGAGTATATGTCCCCAACCGCCCGTTTGCTGATCCACGATCTCCAGGACGGCAGTTTGGCCTATGTACTCAGTAACATCCCAAGTCTGCGGCATGAGTTTCTCCTCATTGCGGCCTGTGGCAGTACGCGCAGCTTGGCTTTGCCCTTGAACTTTCAAGTTAATGCATTCCCCGTCTGGTGCGTTGCCGCCGCCAATAAGGAAATTAATAAGCGGCCGAGTGATTGTGAAGGGCGGCGAGGTGAGCGTCCCCGTGGTTGAGTCTCCGTTCAAGAAAGTATTCACAAGGCGAGTCCCAGCATATCCAGAGACGGTTTGCTGTCCGGGAAGAGTCCCCTGGGCCGGTGCAGCCCCGACTAACCCTCCTGTGGCAACCCAGCCGCGAGACGCAAAGTTGGCAGTGCCTTCGAAATCTTGGAATGTAACATCCCCATTTGCTCCAGTCGTCTGGGTACCAGTACTACTAGATGTCGACATCGATGTGGAGGTTGGAGACGGGGGCGGAGTGTTGGGGTCCGCAACGAATGCCGTGCCATCAAAATTGCCGACTATGTATTGCGTTCCTGAGCCGACAACTCCAGGTGGTCCGCCGGGGTTGAGTCCAATTTGTACAACCCATTTGGTCTCGGCTTCGTTTCCATCGAGGGCAAGCGGGAAGATGCTAGGACATTCCCAGACACCCCCGACTGCGTTCATTGGGCCGAACTCGCTGGTGTAGGTCCACTCCTTCAGGTTAGGCGAAGTATAAATGAGCAACTTGTGGAGTTGGGCTAACGAGACAACTGAGACCCATTTCTGTGTTGGCTGGTGCCAGAATACAAATGGGTCTCGGAAGTCACGCCACTGATCCGCGTACGATACTGGCGGGTTAAGAATGACAGGGTTAGCAGCATCGTAGGTTGTCCAAGTTATGCCTTCGTCTAGACTGTACGCAATAGATTGAGCTTGCTGTCCGCCGTTGACTGACTTGCCGCTAGGTAGATTGCGTGACCCGGGATACTAAGACAGAAGTCATTAGAGGTGCCCAGCATGCTAAGCTAGGAGTTCACTGGACTCACATAGGAGGTATACATGGCTACAAAAGGAACAGTTCCATTTGTACCAAACCCACTCGTGTTCTCGGTATCGGCAACAGCAGAACCAGAGAAGAACATCTCAGAGATGTTGTCTGGGTATCCACGCGCAAGCAGGGCAACGGGTTGGTGCTTCCAGTGGGTCAGATCATCACTAGTCGCATGGCCCCATGACATGGCTCCCCAGGTGTTTCCTCCAGGATTATACTGGTAGTAAAGATGATAAACGCCATTATGATATAGAAGACCGTTTGGATCATTCATCCAGTTCTTAGCCGGTGTAAAGTGATAACGAGGTCGGTAGAGCTCGTTGTAGGTTTGCGCACCTACTGCCTGCAAAAGAGAGAGCCCGACAGCTAGGGCAGAGGCAAAGAAAGAGACCATCCTAACAAGATAGATGCATCCAGAGTCTGGATAGAGAGGCGACTGAGGAAAAGATGCTGATTGTGAGTGCGAAAGATCTCAAGTCCGCGGCAAAGCACAGGCTTCTATATACTCTCAGGCTCTCGCACTTTTCAGTCCTCAGCTTCATTTCCTGTATGGCCAAGAGGAATACGTATCCCAAGACTCAAATCCTCACCGACGGACTCTTTTTCGTCTGCACTAGTCTCGAGCTACTCTGAATTTCCGCGAATGTTCCCCTATGTTGCGCAAAAGCGGAGAGATTCTGGAAGACCTCCCCCATATCTCGGAACCTGGGATATGCGGTGTGACCTTGCCGCCCCAGTGGCGTTCGTCTAACTCAGCAAAGCAAAAAGCGGAGAAAGCAATACAGCAACATTGTTTGGGGGCATCTCATCTATCCGGCTGGGCACGCCATATAAATTCGCGGAGGTCGGAAACCACAGCGATACTGGTGGCACGTGTAATGAGGTTACTCGGTATATGGTCATCGTGAGGAAACCCCGTGGGGAACCCTTGAGAGATCGTGCAGAATTGGTGCAGAAGACGCGGGGAGGGACTCTCGACTGCCGATACTCAAATTGCTTAATCTTATCTCACCGCGGAGGCAGCCTAGTCTCCGCGAAAAGCATCCGCTATGCTGGCGTATGGGCGAATCGTTAGTCTTACTTGATATTCTTGCGTGCCCATGATAAATTCACTCGGGCCCTCAATCCTTCAGCTCACTCTTTACGCCTTGGCAGTTACATTGACCCTGTCCGGGAGGCGACGAGGCACTTATTGATCATTTCTGTTTCATTTTCGGAAGCAGACTTGTCTCACCGCGCACATCGCAGACTGACGAAGGTTTCCCAGACTTGAACCACCACCCCCACCGGCTAATTCGCAAAGGCTTGGTGCGGAGTATGGGCCAGGAACAGCAGACTTTCAGTGTGGTTCCATAGAGCAGCCGAAGCCGGAGGCCGCCCGTTATACTGTTGTTGCTTGGACTGATGAATTAGCCGGTGTCTTATTAGTATCTAGATCCAGCTTCCCGATAAACTGCGCTACACTCCGCGCCGTTTGGGGAGGTATTCAAAAGCTTTTTCGGAAGTTTCAGGCGTATGGTGAGAGACTCAAATGTCTGTCACTCCTGCGTCGTCGCTTCCGTTAGCTTATTCGGTAATGCGTCGCTTGTTGATCGATACGGCCACAGAAAGTTATTTTTTGGCAGCAGGTTGGAACTTAGGAGGCTTTCAGATTTGAGAAGATTTCATTCCCGCTAAGAAATTGAGATTGCCACGTTAGTTCACCCAACCTGTTACTGAATTTGTACTCCATACTAGCATCGGAACTAGCGAATCTCACCTGCCCCCCTGACGATTTTATGATTTTCCCCATGTTCTGCCAATATGTAGGCTTTGCTTATGAAGAAGATTAATCAACCCGAACACAGACCGCTAGTCCGCAGCCGTCCCAAGGAGATGAAACCACGTCGCCACTTGGTTATAATTCGACACTTGCTGGGGGGATCTCGCGGAGGGCCTCGTGTTTTCCGCGATGTGGATTACACACGGACTATGGCCGTGACTTTGGTGGCGCGGTGAGTTGGGAGAATGTGCCTGGGACAGATGGGCGACGGATTCTCGCTGCGATCGCGAACAGCTATGGTGCTAATCCTTCAACTACCACCTGGAAAGGGATGCTTTCGTTTCCGCGGACTCTGGCACTACACCAAAAGGGGTCCACGCGATACTTTGTTCAGCAGCCTGTTACCGAATTGGCCACTATCAGCGCTCCTCTAGTGACAATCCAGAACCAGACTATTAACCCGGGCCAGGTGCTCCTCTTAGCAATCCATGGAACAGCACTGGATATCCAGCTTGCGTTCTCCCTTGATGCTAACGCCGTATTCTCCCTGGCAGTCCGCAAGGCTGGGTCAGAGGAAACAATCATTGAGTATAATCACTCCAACGCGACGCTATCGGTTGATCGAACAGCCAGCGGAGATACTTCGTATGATCCCGCAGCAGGGGTATTCACAGCGCCCCGCTGGTCCCGGATGCCTCGGGCTTGGGTCGTATCCGGGTGCTCGTTGATACTTGCTCTGTGGAGGTCTTTAGTGGGCAGGGAGAGGTGATGGTTTCCGACCTGATCTTTCCTGACGAGTCATCCGATGGGCTGACCCTGCAGGTGACTGGTGGGTCGGCTATGTTGCAGAGTGTGCAGGTGAAAGAGATATCTCTGTAGTAACTAGGCGGGGTTGTTATTCCAGCGATAGACCAATGATATTGGTGCTAACTAGATATTCTATTCTTCCCTTCTTTCCATAAGTCTTAGCTTACTGCTTGATCTTCTGCAGCTTTTCCTGTTATATATCCTCTACGATGACCCTAGTTTAAGAGAGGTAAGGAAGCGTGGTAAACCTAATAATAATAAATAGGTTCGGTATTAATTTAAATATAAATATAAATTGATAACCAGATTATATGCCGGTATATAAATCATAATTATTAGAAATGCTATAACCAAAATACTTAAGAATATAGAATCAAATGGTACAAAAAGTACAAGTCATGAGGCCGACCAGCTCTGCTTTACTAAAAGGGCCTAAGGGCATGAGGGGCAGCGCCCGCCCATGGGCTTTGTCGCAGTCTAGGTTTCTCTTTTCCCTAAACCCACGGGGTTGCCTAGGTATTGGATGTCGCACGTGATCTGCTAGCAGATCAATTGGTTGGCTCTCGGTGGCCCATTAGTAGATACGGGTCTCCACATGTGATTGGAGACTAGCATGTCCATAGCACGTATGTAGTAAGAACTTTTATTTTTCGTATAAAACTATTAATATCTCCCCTTCTAGGCCAGCTATAAAGAATCTAAATAGTGATCTTATAGCCCTTATTAAGCTCTGTATTATAGTATATTTTAATATTTTAATACATTTAATTAGCGGAGCACTATATTAAGAGTAATCGTTATAAACTTTTTTTTCCTCTTAAGTCCGCGATTTAAAAATACGTGCTAGTGGTAAATATGAATACGGTATCGAATTCCTAGTACTACGGTGCTAATATAAGATCAATACAGATTCGTATTAGATCCCGTGTCAAGATCCGCTGGTCGCACCCCATCAAAAAGAAGATCGATTTTTATCTTAACTTTTAGCCCCCTTCCCGGGTAGCTATCGATCCCAAACTTTGATAGGATGCTTCTACGGGGTTAGAATAGAACTGTATAGACTTAGACCAATCAGAGCACGTCTAACCAGGCTTTTATAAAGCCTATGAACCTGGTCCCCCCACTATTATAAGAGCCAATCAGAATATAGGAAATCCGCGAACCTGGTAGGATCGCGGTCGGGAATAGAGTTAGGTCGTTTTTTGCTATTTTGTATCAAAAAATAGTCGCGACGTCGACGACCGTGGCGCTCGGAGCCTCGAGTCCGCACCATAGTTGAGCAGAAGCTTCAAGCCAGGCTCAAACCCAGTCTGTACGGCCCGACGAATGGGTGTCCACCCGACCGCGTCAAAAGTGTTGGCATCCGCTCGACTTTCCAACAAAAGTTGAAGCATGCCTTCTTGTTTTGTGCGAACGGCAATATGCAAGGCCGTGAACCCGGCACTATCACATTCATCGATATCAGCTCCGACATCTAAGAGCGTTTTGACGATGGCTTCATGGCCTTGCTCTACTGCGATGTGCAAAGGTGGTTGCCAATCAGCGGGCGGCTCTTTTTCGTCCGTGGTTGACAAGACCTGTGATGGGTAGGGATTTCTGGCACATGTCTGCTGCTGGGCCATGCCTGTAGAGGGCCATGAAGTAGACTCTACTGCGTCGGGAGTTGAGACTGGCACGTTATTTACTCGTGATGTCGCGCCTGGCAAAGTAAAGCTTGATGAAGTAGGACGGAGCGGAATATTGCTTGTTGTATGAGACGTATCTGGTGGGCTATTGCTTATGGGGTTACTCTCCATGGATCGGAAGTCGAGTCTCATGGGATACATCCGAGTGCCTTCGGGCACAGGCGGTCGAAACGCTGGGGTAGACTCATGGTCTCTCATATCCAGATGTTCCCAATGAGAATATTCCGGAGGCGGAACCCAAAAGATACTATCTGACAGGATGTCATCGAGAGTGAAAGGCTTGGGCCAAGCTGGATGTGATAGGGCTCGATTCGGTGGGAAATGACAGGACGGGTCTTCTTGGAGATCAGATGCGTCTGCTTGGGGGTCTGATGATGGAAGAGATGGTCCGTGGATTCGGTTGGAAACACCATTTGCGATACTGAAGGCCCTTTTGTCTGGAGATCAAGACTCGTCAGTCAACGGATTCAAACGAGAAGAGATCTACTATACCGCGCAGGGTCCTCTGTGAGTTTCGGTTCTGAGCTCTTCGCTGCTCTTGTCGTTCATCGGTCGTCATAAATTCCACAATACGTCCACTTGGAACGTCATGAAAGGTGGCATCATCTATTCGTTCCGAAACTATCAGTTGAGAACAATGGTGGTCTAGGCTACAAGTTAACTCCCCGCTATATGTACCTATGAAACCAACTCTACTGCGCGGCATCGATCCGGGTCGTTTGGGTTTGGGGGCCGGCGGCGTTGTCGGGGGGTGGCGCCGGCTTGTAACGTTCCCGCTACCTTAGAATTAGTATGCTTTATGCTCATAAAATAAACAAGAAGAAAAAACACTGATGCATGTAATACTACGACGGCCCCCTTATTGAGCGAATAATAGTACTCCAGTTGCGATACTATCTGACTTCGGGGATTTACCTAGGTAGTGCTTACTGGAGGCAAGTAAGCGATGAGGCTTCCAACTAGAGCGTTTTTGGTCGATGCCGACCATGCAGCAAATCTAGGGGCCAGCAGCTGCAATAGGCCAATAAATCGCAACGCAGAATCCAGCAGAAAAGACGCGATGCCGGATGTGAGCGTATTGTGACCGAGACGCAAATACCGTGCTAATTCGAAGGCCACCATTCGTGTGTTCGTTTTCTCCACAAATTGCGGAATGAATTCAGATACTCGGCTCAACGCACGGCCCAACCCCTAACGGGGGTTGGGCTGCACGGGTTGAATGCAAAGATGTGATTTTAGGTACCTTCTCTATAGGATACACATATAAAATGTACCTAAAATCAAGCATTTGCATTGAACCCGTTTTTCGCATTCAACCCGGACTCCGCCGTAATGCCTGCGGTTGAGGTTCAAGAATAAATCCGAAGATAACAGAGAAACGCCACCGGCGCCTGTACAAGCTTTCCTCTTTGTCCTAGATAAGGGGCGAAGTAGCAGTGCCTTCCAAGGTTACCTTAGCCAAGTCCGTTCTCCATGTGTTCTAGATTACTGGATATTCGTACAAGCAGGCGTGGCGCGGGGTTTAGATAACTTCTCTCATCAATTCTCACTTATGCGACATTATCCTGGCTGATGGTGCGATGTTGGGCGTTATACCCTAGTCTTGATAGGTTGACCGGCCGGGTGTCTAGCTAGGCACGGGCCACACGGAGTGCCCCGAGCATCACTGGGGGAGATCGCGATGCCACAAACTATCGCTATGCTACTCTTCCCAGGCTACCATGTAGTGTTTTGAGAACATAAAACCTTCAAATCAACGGGAGAAGAGCTTTTACGGGTGAAACAAGATGGTAGAGATAATGGATTCTTGATATTCTATAGGATAGGTAACATATCCGGGCCCCTGATCGAATTAAAGTGATTACCACCGTTGTTAGTCATTAGTTTTGCCCCGGGCATCTGGTCCTGAAGACAGCTCTAAAAGGTGGATTTGCTAAACATAACTTCTCCATTTCCCTTCACACCAGGCCCAAAATTTGTTCCCATAATCCAGACCCCCTTCTTCCTTGGAATCCCCAGCCTTGATTATGTCGTGTCGTGGAGCAGACGAATTGGAGCGGATCCGGCCCCAGGGAATGATGTACGAACCACTGTTTTCCAATGTCACCTCGGGCGAAAGGCCAGCAAAAAGTTCCGTATACGCGCCATAGACTGCATCACTCAAGAGAACTTTGTTCAGGACGAACATGACGGCTGGAGAGGTTCCATTGAAGGAAGCTGTCTTCAAGAAGCCCGGGTTCAGACAAACACTGACGATTCCATCCTTAGCGTATCGACGCGCGAATTCCCGGTTGAGGATCCAGGTCCCCGCTTTGGACGTCCCGTAGTTAGCAGTGAGTTTTGTCCCACTTTCCAACAAGTCGAAGTCGATGCCGTTGGGTGGTGAGGCTGACTCTGCCAAAGCGCTCGATATCCAGACAACACGGGTCTTGCCATTCCCACCAGAAGCGGCGGCAGCGCGCAGCTGTGGAGTGAGGAGTTGGGTGAAGAGAAGTGTCGCAATACAGTGCATTCCTATCATTGGCTCGAAGCCTTGGGCTGTGCGTTGGCCGATCGAGACAGCATTCGCTCCAGTGCCGGCATTGTTCCACAGCACATCTAGCTTATCTTCTTGCTGCGCGAAGCTTTCTGCTGCGGCCTTTACAACCAAGAGACCGTTCAGATCCAGGTGCAGGAACTTCAGTTTGCCGCTCGTAGTCTTGGATTTTGACGCCTCGGTAATCGTTTTGATGGTCGCTTCTGCTTTAGCCTTTTCAAAATGGTCAGGAGATTCGGAGGCTATCAAAGGTCTTTTTAACTGACCTGGGATCGAGAGGCCATATAGACAGTCGCTCCGCTCGCGTAGAGAATCTTGGATAGCTCAAGTCCGATACCCGCATTTCCACCGGTCACAATAAAAACGCGGCCACTCTGCGAGCCTGGGGGGACATTTGCCTCGGTAAAACCTGGAGCAGGAGGATAAGCTTGGGTGAGGGTGGCGCGGAGGCTTGAAAAGGGTGCCATGATTCGATCCGATAAAAAGAATGATAAAGATATTTGGTTCGTGGTTCTAGTCTATGAGAAAGACACCGACATAAACCAAACAAAGAAGCCCTCTGCATGGTAAGCAGGCCCTCGAGTATGGTAAGCAGGCCCTCCAGTATGGTAAGCAGGGAATGGAGATTTCTAAGCACCTGGCTGTCAGGTGCTTTCTGTTCCTTTTTTCCTTTGCAAGGCTGCATTTATCTGCTGTGGAGCCTTGGACAAAGGTGTCTGATTCACCTATAGGCTATGGAAAAGTCCTTATCGTTGATGGTGCAGATTCGGTCCATATGGCATAGATCTAGGCCTCGTTTCCCACGCGGGCCCATTTTTTCTATCTGCTTCATGTTTATTGGCATATGCACACTGTATGTTCCCTGCATGTACACAGCAGCTATACCAGGATATGTCGTGATGTTACTTACTGTCGAACTGGGATATGGCCCCCCTAGTCCCTAAACAAGAACCTTGGTTTGTTATGGTCTAGCGGTAAAAATGGCTGTATTATTCCCCACACTTACTTGTCAAGCTTTGTCTTGCCCGGGCCGACATCTTCCTGGGTTCAGCCTAGACATTCGGCACCCTCGGACTCTTCGAGGATGGTCCCTTGGTTGTCACACGAAACTCCTTTGTCGACCGCTGTAATAAGTGCAACTGCAAATGCATCGTGGTATACGACTCTATATAAGGGTATTGATCAAGCTCAGCTTGATAGGGTATTCGGCGATGATGTCCGTGTTAATTTTGGCAGGCTTCTCTCTGGCCAACCTGCTGATTTCTCAACAAGACAAAGAGAACTGTACTTGGTTTTTGATCGAGAATTGGCCGAATACCTTGCCTGCTATGCTAAACGTCGTAGTATGTTATCCACATCACTATCCCGAACTCGGTAATTGAGTCTCTCCACCCGACATCCGGCATATCTATTGGCCTAGCGCAGAATGGAAGCCGCTTATATTCAATTGTCGACAGGGAAACAGGCTCCCGTCGGAACTCCCTAAGTACCAAATGGCCAAGCTTGTGGCTGGGACCATTTGTGGAAAATCAAACATTGCTTTTGGCAATTTGCGATCTCCGGATGAAGTCACGGAGCGCATGGTTCTCAAAAGTAAAGACGGACGTAAGCCATTCAGTACGTTTTCAAAGTGGATGATGGAATTGAATTGTCGAGGATTCTGGCAGCGTCGCGCTCTTCCCTTTAACAACACGGGAGTTCGAGGCCTGGCGTGACGTCGTCTAGTCGCTTGTGCGGGATTCTAATGCTCGTTCGTTGCTACAAATTCGGCTGTTCTTTTATTACTTGTAGTTAATATCAATTATGGAGTCAGCCCCCGGGAATTCCTGCTGTTGATGTAGCTAGTGGTGTATATCCAGTGCCTTGGTAGAACGAGGGGAGCCTACAGCATGGCTCACAAATTCGACACTCACGGTAGAAGATCAATTGAGCTAATGAATATACTAATAGAAGTATCCGTGCTAGGTCTGACTGGATATATAGGTAAACTGGGTAAAATGTAAGAACAGCTGATTATTTCAAAGTGTGCTCTGCACACTGTACCTGACTGTCAATATGTCACTTTCGAAAGGTCGGACATCGCAAATGGCACCGAGACTCCTCCGACTAGATCGCATCTTATGGACTTGTTACATAACGTGTGAACATAATCAGTATTCAGATAATGATCCTCCGCATGAGATTTAAAAGAGCAAGGGTTGTATTGGTGGCGTTTAAATGTCACCTCCGAGGTTTTCCAATATGTCCCTTTTCAGAGATGGATCCTATAGGAAGAACACCATATTCAGTTTTCTTATACTCGTCGAGGACCTGATCAATGTCGTCCTATTATCGTAAGCTTCAGGAGTTTCACAAGCTGGACAGGAACATACAGGAGGTCCTTCCATAGATTCCAATCGTTTCGCAAGTTCGTCCGGCACATCATCCTCCTCGCTTAGGGCAAGGACGGCTGTGGGTCCATGTTGTGCCCAATCTAGAATATTCTTCAACCCCATGCCGGATATCCGATCACCGGCTAGTGCATTCAACGCGACAAGAAAGGTGGCATCGAATAGATACTCAAGCATGTCTCTCTTCAGGGCACATTTTTCCAATCTTTTATAGCTCATAGGATGAAAGCTTTTAACCAAGAGGTATTTGCATTCGTTTGGAAGTTGTTGGAGGTGCATATCCCCGGCTTGCCTGATAGACGAACAAAGCCCTTGCACGAATCTGTTGTCCACTTCAGCTGTCGCGCATTGGCAGGCAACAACCACACGGGGACGTAAAAGGGTGATAATTCTCTCGAAACTGCCGTACGCTAACTCGTCATCACGGTTTCGATCCTCCAGAATTTGGCTGGTTCGAATAGAATCGCTTCGAAATGCCCTGATATCCAAGATGATGGTGTTTTCGAGGTCTCTTTGGCCACGGGACGCAAATTTGAGTTTCTTATCCACGCAAAGCAGTGTCTTTGAAGCAGCTAACATCTCGTTATAAGCCACCTCTTCAGCCTTATTGGTAGGCTCGATAAGCACAACCACGAGATCTCCGTAGCCCTTAGCCAGCCTCCGTGCATTTTGCAGACCATTCGAGGAGACTCTCAAATCTCGCGCTAAATCGTCCAAAACTTCAAGATGATGGGTCACAACTCTCTGCTGGCTGGACCTTAGAGGGCAACGTAGCTCTAAGAGAGAAGGCTGTATGTCCTTTCGGTCGGTGAAATTGAACTTTTTCATTGTCGAATATATGTGACTTGGAACTAAGAGCGAGAGAATACCCAAGTGTATAGTAGCGACTCGTGAGAAACCATACCTACGTATCGATGCTTGGTACCTTCGTATATGTACTTGAGGAGAATGACGTAACACGTGCTGTTGGATGACGTGGCACTCGTCTTGTCAATAGGTAAGAGCATGCCCTGCTTTTGATGCAAACACTTAGTGACGCGACCAAAAGCCTTAGCCCCCAATCATAGATTTCCATGGATTTGAGCGCTTCAAAGGGCGAGAAATCAGTCGCTATATATTGCGACCAGATGATGGAAATTTCATATAATTATCTAACGAGTGTCTGTGTCTTCAGTTGATGAGACACTGAAAGCTGAAGCCAGAAAATTACATACATATGCACTCTAATCTTGTACCGAAGTCAATGTCAATCGGAATTTCGGTTTTTACCCGTACAATAGCTCATTTATCATCATTATTGTAGAACTGCCGGCGCATTTGCAACGAAGATGTACCTCATCGCACATTCAGTGTCACGATGTGGGGGTTTGTGACTGACGTAGCAATAACTTCCGTGATTGAAAGAGGTAAGGTATCTATATTGCCAAGAGATAAGAGTACTACAATTTACTGTAGCCCATCGAAGGTACATCGGTAGATGCAAGGCTGGCGGAAAGATATCCTAATACGGACTAGTGAGCTGTAGGTGGAGCCTTGGGAAACAAAGAAAGAGAGAGTGTGGAGGTAAAACTGATACTGATTAGAATAAATCAGTCTCTCATACTAGCACTCCGCACAAATTAGCACATTCCCCGCTCCTCTATATTGGATAGGTCTCACAGTGAGTGAAACTTGTGCTAAGGTCTTACTTTAGATGTTACAATATCTACAATGAAAAGAATAGCTTGTATTGACGCGGCAGTCGAAGGACCTATTCCTAACCGTGTGGAGGTTATTTTCTTGCGTAGATGCTCAACATATCGGCTCCTTGTCCACTCTCGTAGGATCTCTCGGGCTTGATATACCACTTCCTCTCGAAAGAACCTGTTCCCGCCTGCTGGGGTGGTTTAGGAGGATACAGGATTCCATCACCGCCCTCAGCCAGTAAGTCCGAGTGGACACCTTGCAAGGGCCATGGTGGGCCTGGATGACTGAGTTCTTTGAAGAGAGGAAACTCCAGACAAACCAGAAGGCCACCCGAAAACAACAGGTCGGCCATACGTGAGGCCCACTGAGCACGCATTTCCGGATGAAGAGCACAAAGGAACTGCCCTAAGTTAGCTTCTGTGCTGAGGCCTATATGTCCCATGGATGACTTACAGTGTAGTCATAAATTAAGTCAAACTTCTCCCCTTTGGTGCAGTCAGATTGGAAGAAATCACCCTGGATGAAAGATACCGAGCCTCTTCCAAACTTATTAGCCCAAGCAGGCCCAAAATTGTATGCTTGTGGCGTTTGGAGCTCTTTGTGTGCATACTCCTCTGCAGTAGAAACTCCCTTGGATGAGATCTCGAGCCCAACGGCATCGAATCCATGCAGAGCAAGCATGACCACATCGTAGCCTTTTCCGCATCCCTATATAGAGTAAGTTTCATGCATTTCTGAGAAATAGAAAAGAAGACCTTACGGGTACGAGAATCTTCTTCCTCTGGCCGTTAGCTGCAATTGGGCTCAATATGTCCTCTCTCTGCTCCAGAAGGTCAATTAAGGCGGGTGAGGGCTTCCCCCTGTCCCACATGTTACTGCTACCAGTCTCCCATAGGTCGTTCCACGCATCATTGTGCTTCTCGATCGAACTGCGAGCTGTCAGACCTCTATCACTCTATTAAACAAGAAAAAAAAACCACATACCTTTGTTCGAAGTGTTTGATCAGGCGAGACCGACCCTCGGGGGTCTGAAGCCGTTCTGCCGGAGTCGTCATTTCAAGTGTCCGTCACGTTTGCTGGTTGGTGAATAGTTTAATGGGGGAATATCAAGGAAACTCAAGCGCTGGGTGTCTGAGTGTTTTAAGGGGCGCCGTTGATGTGGGGCAAACCACTCCATTTTTTTCTCCGAGTCAACCGGGGTTTCCATTTGATACGGTACGCCCCATTGGTTTCATTTCTAAGTAGTGAGCCACTCTTATTGAAAAAGCTAGAACACTCCTGGAGAGTAATGCTTAGCGATCCAGATATCCTGCCCATGTTCCTTAGTATATGACGTCAGTGACAGCGAAATGAATCGTCCCAGGAAAAGCTTAGCGCCGGCGGAGCCCTTGCGATTTCCTTTTTGGGCAGAAACTGTGCCCTATTGGTTTCCTGGACTATCAACACTCGCAAGAAGGTTCTGGATATAAAACCTCATGAATTTGCAACAAGGATCGCATAATCCAATGGAAGGAACAAACAAAGCCGTGCCGTTTCTCGGCCAATTTAAGAATGATTCTGTCATAGACTGCATTGGAGACACGCCGTTAGTCTGTCTCAACCGCCTCCCTGCTGCAATTGGTATTCAAGCGCAGGTGTATGCGAAGCTTTAATACTTCAAGGGTGGCTCAGTAAAGGACCGAATCGCAAACCGCATGGCTGAGGAAGCGGAAAGCGATGGGACGATCAAACCTGGAGATACGTTGATTGAGGTTTCGAGTGGCAACACGTGAGTCTGAGAGGGCATACCAGCAGTAAGGGAAAGGGCTAATGTCACACGACGGGACAGTAGAATCGCTATTGCCCTAATGGCGGCTATCAAGGGCTACAAATGCATCATCACACTCTCAGAGAAGATGTCGCTTGAAAAGGAGCAGATTTTGAAAGCTTTGGGAGCGAAGGTCGTTCGTACTCCAGCCGGTGTTCCCATCGACTCCCCGGGCTCTATCATCAGCGTGACACAGCCTCTTCAGAAGGAGATTCCGAACTCCTTCATCCTCAATCAATACACAAACCCTGAAAATCCAGCTGCACAGCGGAGGAGCTGTGGCACCAGACAGAAGGGCATATCGATGTGTCAATCAGCGGAGCTGGTACCGGGGGCATCATTACAGGCACAGCAATGGGTCTTAAGAAATACAGCAAGGGTATCCTGTGCGTGGCGGTCGATCCACTTAGTTCAGTCCTCGCTCAGCCAGACGAGCTTGACAATCTCAAGGCGGAATACAAGGTTGAAGGAATCGGGTACGACTTTGCGCCAAAGGTCTTGAACCAAACCGAGCCCGACCTCTGGATCAAAACCTCTGATAGGGACTCTTTCCAGTATGCACGAGGCCTTGTCCGAGAAGAAGGGCTTCTTTGTAGAGGGTCCTCGGGTGCAACAATTGCCGCACTGGCCCAGTTGGTCGAAGCTCGTCCTGAGCTCAACACGGAGGATAAGCATATTGTGGTTATGCTGCCGTCTTCGTAAATATCTAACAAAGTCTGCCAATGATGACTGGATGGCAGAACATGGTTATGATGTTCTTTGATGGCGACTGTACGTCGGGACCAAATTATAAGAGCAAAGAATGAGATCCATTCTGTCAAACCAAATAATATCTTTTCCCACCAGCTCGGCATGGGTGACCTTTTCAAAAGGAGGAGTGTAGAAGTTATGGTGATGGTTTGAGGGATCAGACATCCACCGTGACGGCACATGCTTGCTATAGCATCATGTTTGTTATCCATAGAAAGCTATAAATAGAGCTCTCTTTCTTTCCGTCTTTCTCTCCAGTCCAATATTTTTCTCAAGAAATTTTGCATCTGAGTTGTCCTTCTACCTGGAGAAAGGTAGCTGGTCCAAATCCAAGAAAAGTACTGTATTACCGTAGTGGAGAAGAAACGTATTCATATTGCGTCTGGATGGAATCAGATGGGTTGCACAAAAACCAAGAGCATGCATCACCGAACATAGTGTCCTCATCTGGCCAAGTCACCTATAAAAAAAAATCCCGCAGCTCGTGAACGTCAAAAGATCATTCAACGTAACAAGCGTTGTGCCCCGACCCCCAGATTGAAGTGTTGCGAAAGGCTCAGAATCTTCTACACCGGGAACCTTCTGGTACATAATATCAATCGCAGCCCTATACGTCTAGGTGAAAAGAGACGCCTCGCAAAGAATCTCTTTCTCGCATAATGGCGCTCCAAGGCAACTCCCTTCGTGTCTGGCAAACGCTCCTTGTTGTCCTTCCCAGTTTCCTACTCTTTGGGTACAATCAGGTCGGAGTTGGAGGATTACTCTCTTTCGACAATTGGACACGCACATTTCCCGAGATCGATATCTCGCACACCGCGGGTGATACACGCAGGAAATCAATTATTCAGGGCGTCTATGTCTCCACGATTGCAATCGGGGCCTTCATTGGAGCCATGGTATGCTCCAGCATTGGGGATATTATCGGCCGTCGGAAAACAATCTTCATTGGGGCCCTCCTAAATTTTATCGGAGCAATTATATCCTGTACTTCCTTCCAACTGGCGCAATTGATCACGTCTCGCCTCATTTTAGGCATTGGTGTCGGCTTATTGAGCGCCATTGTCCCCGTCTGGCAGTCTGAATGTTCTCAGGCTATCAACCGCGGAAGGAATGTAGTTGTTGTTGGAATTTCCATCACAGCAGGATATGCTTCAACCTCATGGGTGAACATCGGATTCTCCTACATGGATGAGTCCTCGGTATCCTGGCGTGTTCCATTGGCAATCCCGTGCATCCTGGCACTTATTTTGACGGTATCAATTTTCTTCTTCCCGGAGTCGCCACGATGGCTTCTACGTGTCGGTGATAAGAATCGAGCAGCCGCAGAGCTAGCCCGCCTGAATGGCTGCACGGTTGATGATCCCCGGATTACCGAAGAGATATCAGGGATCGAGTCTTCATTGGAAATAAGCTCACAAAAGGCGGCATCAATTAGGGACATCTTCACAATGAAAAATGGAAAGCTTTTCTACCGCTTTGCGCTCTGCCTCGGCCTGCAATTCTTTCTTCAAATGACGGGAGGGAATGTCATCAGCACTTATATCACGACCATCTTCGAGGACAACCTCGCTATGTCACCTAGGTTGGCTCGTGTGCTAGCCTTAGCTGTGCTGACGTGGAAGTTTCTGGCGTCTTTCATTGCATTTTTCACAATTGATCGGTTTGGACGCAGAAAACTCTTCCTCTTTACAGGCTGCGGTCTTACACTCTCTATGTTGTGCATGTCCGTCGCAACCAGCTTTCCCCACGACAATAACATTGCACCTGTGTTTAGTGCGATTTCGATATTTATGTTCTGCTTTTTCTACCCCATCGGTTTTATGGGGCCGAGC